ACAGACCTTAGTTATAACATTGTTTATATGTTGGTGATACAATAAAGAATCCTCGAGTAGCCAATCGGTGTTTTGGTTTTTTCGTCCGTTATTACTAAGCGTTTCTGAGAAACTTCGAGGAACAGCGTGAGTCCCAGCGTAGCAAGAGCTGGGCATTGACGGTTTACGAGACATTGTTGACATCATTGTTGGATTTATGCACTAGAGGGTCACTTGTGTCCATTTTATTAGGTCATGTTTTACTGACTTTTCTTATCCTTCCCTTCGCACATCGGCTTTTTTATCTATCCTGCGTTTATCCTCTCTTTTTCTTGGTACTCATTGTTCACAAATGTTGCGTTTCACCTCATTTGTATTTTCGTTGCTGTTAGAATTATTTATTTCATTACGTTTGAAAGTTTTTACCAGCAGTTCATTTCATTCTTCTCTTTGTAATTGTTTCATGCGTTGCATTCATGCGTAGTTTTCGCGTTTTAATTATTTTTCAGCTGCTTGGAAATGACACTGTGTCGAAGTTCTGTAAAATATGCACGTAAACATAATGAATGACAGAAGCTGTTGTTTCCTGTAATCTGTTGGTTGCTATTATTGTTGTTGGCTCAGTTGGTTAATTAGTATGTAGGAATCTAGAAAAACGATGTCTTTCACTTTCATGTTCACAGTATGCAACAACCTACCGGTGACTCTGATGAATAGAGCACGAGCAGAGCTGATGTTAGCAAGGTTTTCGAACAGCATATTAAATCTTGCGAATTTAAGACCTGGGTTAATGTTAAAAAGGCTTTGAAGCTTCTCGAGGAAGTGAATATACGATCTATGTGTCAACTATCAGTTAAAAAACCAGATATACTGTGAGAGAATCTAAATCAAACAGGATTGAGCCACATGAGAAGTTTGAATCTGTAATGCGTGTGTGTATTTTCGGGAATAAAAAGAAATTGGAAAGCAATCGGAAACCTCTAAAGGGTAAGTGTTACCTATAGTTATTAATGTACAAATACATGAACTAGGACTGCCTGTAGTAAAGCCGGTGTTAAAAGCCATTCAATATTTTGCAAAACTATTTAAAGAGCAGATAACATGCGATGATTTGATGAGTGTGCGAACTGTCCCAGTTAAAAGTAAGACTTAAATTATCAAGGATAACTTTTCGGGTCGTTGTCTACAATCGGTGAAAACACCACAGTCAGATCGTGCGACGCGGACACCAACAAGACATCTCAGGAAGTGAGAACTCCTACCAATCCAGAAAAATATGACACAATTTTATTAAAAGCCGTTGGCGAAACCATTTTCCGAGCGAAATCTCAACCAACATGCCTGATAAGTCAGGCTGGCTAACGTAGCACCATTCTTCATGAGGGTGTACGATGGTGAAGACGTAAAGCAGTAACCAGCTGACTAGAGTCAGTCTTGAACTCATTCAAGTTCCTCAGTTAAGAATGAAATAGCAGATGGCTTTTAAGAAATTCTTATCGAAAACAAGAATTTTCAAGACGGACCAAGTTCTACAGTCCATTGATTGTCCTGTTGTCCGCATGGTGTGCATTCCAAATCATCACTGACTCCAGTTTATGCATGGTAAACATATTGATATCAAAAGCATCCTAAATGCTTTAGGAAGCGCCACAACTGTGAATAAAACCAGCATGCAATCGTCTCAGCAGCCAATTCAGTGAACTGGTACATAAACCCAGAGTCCCAAGTACAAGCTGCATGGAACCAATTTAAACAATTTTACGCCTGAGTAAGTGAACCTTTCATCCTTTGGTCTGTTCAAAAGGGTTGGAGACATTGCCTCGACTTGGATAAATAGAGATATTCGTAAGTTACTCAGAGACAAACACAAATGTTTGAACCTGTTTGTTGCATTTGAGACTCCTGAGATCAGGAAATTGCACAACACTGCTAGGAGCAAAGCTATTGCGGAAATCTGCCAATCGAGGATGAAGTTCGAAGCACTTTTGGCTTAAAATGCAAGGGCGAAACCTGAAAATTTTCACGTGCATGAACTTCAGGAATAAAACGTCCAACGGAGCCCCATGTCTGACTATTGACAATGACGCAATCGAAGACCAAAAAAAGGAGAAGCAATGGCAGACTAGTTCTCCCGAGTATTTACACAGGAGTCGTTACTCCCCATGGGATCAGGTCTGCCCGCATCAGAGGAACACAGGATAGATTTCGTTGACGTCCACCAAGATATCGTGCTCAGCAGCCCAACGAAACTTATAATCTTCATCCAAGGCTTCTCAAGGGGCTGTCAGATCACATAACCGGTCCATTGATCAAGATCTTCAAGCTATCTCTCCTAAATGGAGTGTAAGCGCGTGACTAGAAAGACGCCATAGTAACCCCCATCCACAAAGGAGGATCAAGACAAAGCCCTCCGAATCACAGACCTATTAGTCCTACCAGTACTTCGATCTAGAGACTGGGAAGAATCATCAAAAAAGCGTTACAGCATGTCTGGAAAACAGTAGTTTGTTATCCAGAGCACAGCATGGCCTCCGAGAAAACCTCTCATGCCTGTTAAATTTGCTCACTGCAAGAGAGAGCTAGGTCAAATCAAGGGACAGCAGAAGACCTGTTGATATCGTCTTCAAAGACTTCAGTGAAGCCTTCGATAAAGTTCCTCACAAAAGACTAATCATGAAGTTGGAAAGTTTTGGTATCAAAGGCAGGTTGCTAAACTGGCTTAGGGGAATTCCTCATAGATTGGAGCAGAGGGTTAGGATCATCTCGGAACTTTCCTGTTGGACAGCAATGCGTAGCGGAGTGCCTATCTATTTCCTATATATCCCGAAGTACCTTACGGCCCCGTACGCAGATTGCTTAAACATTTGGAGAGAGCTTAAGGGCAACAGTTTTGCGCTCACGTTGCAAGAGGACCTCAACAAATTGTCAGAGTGGTCCAGATAATGGATGCTGCTGATCAATGTAGCAAAGTGTGCAACCATACGCATCGGACACGCAAGCATCAGCTTCTAAGAACTAGAGGGAATAACACTCCCATCAGTTCAGACTCATCTGGATTTAGGTGCCATAGTTAGTCACATTTTAAAAACTACAGCACACTGTCGCGCGGTGGCTGCACGTAGTTTCAGGTCCTTATGGGCAATTCACAGAGGCTTTACTAGAATCACCAGAGTATTACCTTCCTATACATATCGCCGGTGAGGTCAAGACTAAAAAACTGCATCCAGGCAGCCAGTCCTTGTCTTAATTGGTTCTAAAATGGGTTCAAAGGAAGGTAACACGTATGATTCTCGACATTAATAACTTATCATATGGGAAAAAGCAGGACAGTTTAAATCTCATCTCCCTAATCTACTGTTGGCAGAGGGGAAATTTATTCACAATGTTTGAAATTTTAAATAATGACTATGGACCTGACGTATTCTATCTCTTCCTTCCCATCAGGTCGGAACACCTCAGAAGACATAGCAGGAGAGTTCAAAAGCCAAGAAGGAGTCATATGGCTGCAGGAAGATCTAAACCTTTTGGAAAACTGGGCGGTGGCCAGTGGCATGACTTTCAACCTGAAAAAGTGCAAAGTAGTGAAGTTGCGCACCTGTAGACTACAGAATGCAAGTTACACCCTGTGCAATGAAAGCTTGTCCTGCACAGTGTCGGAAAGCGACTTAGGTCTAGTTCTAACGGAAAAAATGGACACAAGCGTAAATTACACGGGGATGTAGCGAGGGTATATGTGGTCATACACTTTACGCATAGACAGTTAGGTGCACTCACTCCTGAGCTCTTTCTAAGGTTGTACAAGACATACGTCAGACCACACCTTTAGGTGCATAATATTATTGCACCTCCAATGCTGAGAAGAGACACCAACCTCTTGGAAAGAGTCCAACGACGGGCAACAAAAGGAGTGGTTGGTCTCCGAAACAATTCATATGATGAAAGGCTGAAGAAATTAGGCCTGTTCACACTTAGCTACCGTCGGCTTAGGGGGGATTTGATTACTGCCTACAAAGTAACAGATGACCAGAATCACCCAAACAAAGGTGTTATGCCATTGAGTAGGTATAGGCTCCCACGTGGAAATCGCAGAAGGATAGCTCACCAGAGGGCAAGGACCCGGGTGCGCTCCCACTTTTTTTCACTGCGGGTCTGCCGTCCCTGGAATTCCTTACCTGCAGATGTGGCTATGGCACCACCTATGGACGCCTTTAAGCGAAGGCTGGACAACCATGAAGCGATACAAGGACTGCATCCAAATGGCCTATCCCCTTAAAATCGCATACACCATTCAGGGGTAGACAATTAAACTCGTCGTTTTACTTCTTTACATTCTCTCCCATCTTACTCTCCGGACAACTAATAATATTATAATTATTATTACTATTATTATTACCGACATATATATATTATTCTTCAAACTTAATGAGCTGACTGTTGTTTCGCTTTCCCATTTCCGTTTCTGTCTCTTAGTCTGAATAACTTCACTAATTATACCTATTATTAGCATTATTATCTCTTTTCTCTTGTCGACGATGCCGGAGGACTAACTGGCGAAAGGATCAACTCCATTTACGGTATTAACAGTCTTAACACACCTCATACAACAAACCACATATAATTAATCCCAGCACTAATCCCTTTGGAGTCAACCAAAGCTACGACAGTCGAGTGGTGGGACGAGCTACGCAGAAGTTTACCGAAGATCAGGAACCTATACCTTACAATCAAGAAGCGAGCACAAAGAAATCAAATTGGTTTATACTAGCCCGTAAAAACGATATTGGATATTGGAGTACTGGTTCTTACACCGAGTCCTAAACTCTTAGAATCGACTCCCAGAAGAAGTAGTGTCTGCAACCTCAACTGAATCACTCAAGGAGTGTTTGAATGACCACAGAAATTTACTAGAGTAGGAATAACATAGGCTCCAGGCCTTCTATCCTCAACCAATAGATCTATGATCAGATTCTGAATCTCAACATTGTTAGCCGCTGAATTCAAAGTTTTGCGTTGGTTCATCAATGACAAGGTACGTGGATATATTGTTATTATCAGAGTGACATAGTTGTTACGACGCCAGTTTTGACCGCTATATACAAAAAACAGATGACTCAAAGTCTCATAAACTCAAAAATGCCTTCTGGACTACAAAACAGGTGGTGATAACGAAATTGCGTCGAAAACAAGATGAGAATATAGTGGCCTCGGATTCTGATCTGGATGCTAAGTTGGAGGTAAAATGTTGTATAATTTATCGTTTTAGCTCTTAAAATCTGTTCAAACAACTTGTCGGGATCTCGATAGTATTTTAGGTCGTTACCAAAGGACAATATGCTGTATGTTGTGTAATTAGTCTTATGAATGATTAGATTTGTCACAGGCTGAAAACGAAATGGGACGCTTTTTGAAGCAGTATAGTCTTGAGGATAAGACGCAAGCAGGAAAAATCATGTCTGCTGTTGGAAAAGCACTTAGCAGTTCGGCACAACAAAGGTAAGCTTCTGTTTAGTTTGCGAAACATTTAGTGACGACAAGATGTTATGACTCCAGCTAACATTCGTATTTAGTGTAGTTAGTGAATCGTGTCTAGCAGTGATAATAGGAGGCTTGATCAGTACTTACGGAACAGACTTCATCCAAGAAGGCTTTCTGGTTTACTTTAGATAGTCTCCTTGCAGAATTAGTATGGTTATGCAAGTCGATGTTGAAACAGTAATGATCATCTGACAAGTAGACTGTCAATAGGGTCTGAGGACCTCTGCTGAAACCCGGTAGTTACATACACTAATATTTCCACAGGATGTGGTTCAAATAGTATGTATACCCTTTGGTGAAAACCCGGTAGTTCTTCCTATATGCCAGAGGATGATATTCTGTTAAACATTCCTGTACCTTAAAAAGAGTTTTTCAATGAACTGTTTGCCTGGATTTATCTTTTTGGCCTTATCATTCGCCTCAAGGTGATTACTGCGCTCGTACCAAGTACTCTTGGTTGGATTTCGTGGACTTTCGAATGCCAATTCCTCATAAGTGATCATTTCACAGTTATGTATTCCTTGTTATATGTTATCTTTTGCAGTGTGCGAGAAAGGAGTGGGATGGAATGGTATCACAGTCCTCATGTTTGATTAAGGAAAAGAATTTAGATGGTAAAGCCTAAATTTATTCTCACCACTGTGAGCTGTTTCCAACCACTTCACTGATAGTATTCAAAAATAGATTTTTACAATCTGAAGAGTCCCAATCAGGCAGTCATTCTCGATCCCGACCAACAGTCAATGATTTCGTAGACTGCTGCTCTATTTTGTTCTGACCACTCTTCTCATACATCAACTTATATAGCTGTTTTAGTAAGACATTGATTTTGGAATGCTTAAAGCAAGTACGAGTCACTTCAATCACAAAGGCATACGAGGCAGATTGAGTCGCCTTTGCTTATACAATGCTGCTTTTATTCGCGGAATTACGCAGTTACACCACATAACAAATAATTGAAGCAGACATTTTTTTGCTGAGATTGCAACTACTGGTTCATTGATTTTAATGCATTGACATATGGATTAGTGAGAAAGATAACAGTGAGTTAATATATCTTCGTCACTTAAAACGGTCTTGAGTCAGTTTCCAAACACTTGTTCCTACGGTCGTAGCCTGGGAATCTACACATCTTTATGCAGCTAAAACCAGCAGTTATACTTTGCAGACTGACTCCATGTTTTATTCTAAATGGCCTTAACTCTTCCTATATAATTGTGTGGGATAACGTTATTCCCTTAGAAACACAGTGAGTCATCATTCTTAAAATAGTAGCTATCTCAATAGGAATTCACAACCTCATCGACCGGCCTTTATTCCTTACTTGACCACATTCGACTCAAGATGAGATTGGAGGCATCCAGTAATGCTTGCATATTTTCCAGCTTCAACAGCCATGTTCTGACATTTCGTTTGCTACTTATTTAGCCTGATGGGTCATAAAAATGTATTGAATTCATTATGCCTGTACTATTATTTTTCTGAAGGATGTGTAGTGGCGTTGGTCTGCCTTGAGAGAGACTATTCTGTATTAACCATGCAGACGATGTCATCTTTGTGTGATAGCATAGTGGCAACCTAAATCGCACACAAGCAGTTCGCAACTAATGCATAATATATAGTATTTGCTTTGCCATATCTGTTGCATGATTGTTAATGGTTGCTCACACAGGTACAGACGTCCTCTGGTCGAGAACCGGATGTCATCGATATGCCATATGGAATGTAAGTTTTCAAATGCCGCACGCACCATTTATACCTGTGCTAAGATATCGTCAGCCATCAGTTTCTTTAGGGCTGGTTCAGCTTCTAAGGTGAATGAAGTCGTGGATGTACTCATCCACTTCACTTTCCGTCTGTAAAATGGGAATCGGTGCAGACTAGTCTTGCGGCATCAGCTCACATCTAATAGAGGCGAATCCTATGTAAAATATGCTGAGATTTCTACCCAAAGTGCTCAGGAAACTCTCCATTCTGACACAGTGGAGATTGTTATGAAGTGTTATCATTTTAGAACGTCTTCAGTAGCTTAGACATGTGCTACGAATGTCATCCCAGCGGCTGTCATACAGTCCTCTGATTGTTAGTCGTGTGACTAGATGGAAAAAAGCATAGCAATAGTCAGTCGACGATGCGGCGCTGTGAGACAAAGAATAGTTGTGTTAGGTTGGCATCTGTCAGTGCACCATGACTCCCTAGGTGAAATCCGAGAGATAATTCTAATCAGTGGCGAACGTGCTGATATTTTCTCCCTTTCTGAAAGTAGCAAAATAGTGAATCATCCTTTGAATGCCTTCGATGCTGTTCCTTATTTATTCCATTCCATTTTTCTTGCATTAATGATGTATTATTTTTGTATGGTGCATCTCTTGGTTCCTATATTATACCAGGTTTGTGTTCAAACAATAGTGATATGATTACTAAACTGGTATGTGTAGTTACTAGTTAGCCCAATCCCAAAGAATAATGGTGAATACCCTAAGTACAACATTTAGGCAGCTTGTATTAGTACCCTGAAAAAAGTAATTCAATCGTTGTCACGCTTTCTATTTACATTTGATTCATCTGTAAAGTCAGGGCAAATATGAAAGTTAATGTTCTCTCATAATATTAATCCTTAAATTCATTAAAATTTCTGTGGATTTATACTTATGTAGACTTGCTCTACTCAACCCTCTTGACCGTGTTCATCAAGAGGTAAAGACATTCAGACAACGTGCAATTACGGATACATTAAATACAGTCAAACGTATGGAACATGGTCGCACTGAATATCGTGGTGCGCTATTATGGATGAAGAATGTAAGCAGTGAATTGGATCCAGATACTTATAAACAATTAGAGAAGTTCCGATGTGTACAAGCACAGGTAAATAACAATAACAAGTTAATCTAATTCCATATTAGTTTGTTTATTAAATGTATCACACAGTGAAACAGTGTTGTATACTGGATGACGTTTCGAACACAATTTATTGTTCATAATCATATCAATATTGATTGATATGATGATGAACAATAAATTGTGTTCGAAACGTCATCCAGTATACAGTACTGTTTCACTTTGTGATACATTTAATAAACAAACTAATATGGAATTGCTTAATACCACAGTGCCCAAGTTTTACACATATAATAACAAGTTAATCTAATTTGGTTTCATATAAACTACACATACGTCATTTTTATATTTAAGGAAGTTACCTTAAAATAGTCAGGATTCTGGTCAAGGGTATAATTCCATTGACACTTAACTCTACTAGATAAGTTTATTTGGCATAGCGCACAGTGATATGGTGTTAATAATTGGATAACATGTCGATCACAATTTATTGCTCATAACCACGGCTTCCTAATTTGCTTTATTTAACCCTCCTGTTTTTATTGCAACTTGCCGCCTATCCGAGATATGTTACTTCATTTCGATCGCATATGCATGGTGATCAGGCATTCACTCTCTCCACCTAGTTATACCACCTTTTAGTACTTTTACTACATCCCATTCTATTGTGTGTACCATAACGTAGAGTTTAATGAATTGTAATTTCCGAGCTTTTTTAGATTACTTAACTTGGTGGAGTGGGTGGGTGGGGGGAATAAGTCATCCTAGGTATGTCTAAATTCTTATGTCCTTATCTAACTGATCCGAGGTCTGTTAGTATGACCTATGTAATTAACCCCACAGTCGTCACATGGGATTTAGTAAAGGATGTTTTAATTAATTAATTATAGATTAATAAAAGACTTGAATACTTTCGCCATGACATACAGAGTAATTGATTCGAACCAAAAGTAACAGAAGCCAATAATATTGTAAACTGTACTACAAGCCCGTTGCACAAGAGGTGGCTCTCGTGGCCCAAGTGGTCTAGTGGATAACGCTTTGGCGTTTGAAACTATGGGCACTGGGTTCGAGCCTCGGTGGGAACATCATCACTCACTGAGAAATGCAGGTACATCCAGCTGACGAGTCCCAATTAGGACGAAATGGGCTTTATCCTGGATTCCACTGCTAGCCACCATCCACCAATTGTGTACTACAAGCCTTTAATAAACCTCACGCAACAGCTATATGGTGATATCAGTGTTAAGTGATCCACAGTATAAAGCTCACCAAAGCATTTGTAGGGAAGACAGGAGTAGAGAAAGGTTGTCTGCTACCACCGATGTTATTTGTGTTTGTGATAGACTGGATCATGCAACAGACTTTGGGGGGGGGGGGCAATAAGACAGGAATATCTTGGAGAAACAAGAAGACTCTAGGAGATCTGGACTTCGTGGACGATTTACGTTCCTTGTCACACACAAACTCGAAGATATACAAGTGGAAACCAATAAGTTGGCAGAAGAGGTAGCAAGGATGGAATTTCAGGTAAAAGTATGGATAGTCTTAGGGACAACTGAAATAGATGGCTGAATGCAATTGACAAGTGCGGCTGAAGCCCTATATTCCTTTCGGGGCCCGGAAAATAAATAATTAGTGATGTAATAGCACAATTTGTATTCATCTCTGATTCCTATTTAGGTACCAAAGTTCTGGACTGTGGAATAACATGTATGTGAACGGTTAAGGATTAATAGGTTTTCTGGTGAAATAGCTTTAGTTTTACACAAATTCGTCCATATTTTAATTAAATCAGTTGCTGAATCATCTTGGGTTCCATGTTTAACATAGGGATTCACAAGGACACTCCCGTTTCACTCTCCTCTCGGTAGTTCGCTTTAACTAGTTCCACGATTGACAGTATGCTTTCATTTCCTCTTGGGACCATCTCCATGTCACTGTCGGACACATGCCCAAGTCGTTGTTTGTGCTTCTGGTTCCACTAGAGGAGTTGGGTGTGACGTCACCCAGCGGCTTCTCAGTGTGTGCTCGATTCACCTCCACTTTCTTTGACATAATTTTTGGGTAATTGGTTGTTGGTTGGTTCATGGTCTGTCAGAGTTACCCAACACTGACGACCCACTCGTCGTTCCTCATTTAGATTCCACTCGAGTTCCTGGCATGCGATGTTAGTCGATCGTTACCTCAATGCATGCCCGACCCATCTCCATTTTTCCTACATATTTGTTGAGCAATCGGCTCTTGGTTGGTTCGTCACCCCTCAGAGTTTCTTGTTGCTCATTCTCGCCTGCCATTTGATCGTCAATATGGAGCGAAAGCAGCTGTCGATCAAAGTCTGCAACCTGTTGGAAATTCTTTTCGTGACGCGCAGTGCGAATTCCTGACCCGTATAGAAGGACTGACTTGACATTGGTGTTGAAAATCCGAATCTTCTTCCTTATGCTGAGTACAGATTTCCAAACTGTCTTCAGGTTGGTGAAGGAGTATCTTGGCTTTCCGATTCTGGTTGGTTTTGAAATCTTCGTCCGTTGCGCCTGTAGTTGAAACGATGCTTCTTAAATAAGTGGAGGTAACCTCCGTTAAATCTCTACCGTTGATGGTAATTGGTGGTGGTTGTTGTTGCTACTAGTTGGTTATCGTCATCATCTCCGTCTTCTCTATGTTCATCTGGAGTCCTACCTTCGCTACCCGTTTCTTCAGCCGGTTTGTTGGTTTTCGCCTGCAAGTTTTCGAGTTTGTGGGTTACGACATATATCATCTGCGAAATCAAGATCGTCTAGAGTCTTCTTATCGGTGGTCCAGCGTATTCCTGTCTACTCATTCCCCATAGTCTGACTCATAATCCAGTCCACCACAATTAAGAATATCATCGGTGATAATAGGCAGTCTTGTCTTACTCCCGAATGCACTTCGAACGCCTGGCTGAGTTTCCCGTTGTGGATCACTTGACACGTGACAGGCATTGTCATATAGCCAGCCAGCTGTTGAATGAGGTTGATAAATCTTTGAGTACTGCGCACCGTGGTGTTGAAGTAGTTTCCAAATTACTTCTCGGTCAACGCTGTCTGTCGAAGGCCTTTTCGAAGTCGATGAAGGAAGTTGAGGTACAGATTTAACTACCGTTCGATGACGACGTGTAGAGTTGCAATTTGATCAGCACATGATTCATCTTTCCTGAATCCAGCTTGTTCTGGGCTGGCGGAGTTTAGTATCCAGTGTATCTTTTATACTCTCTAGGATGATGCGACTTAGTATTTCACTTGGTGTGGACAAGAGGATTATTCCACGCTAGTTCTTGCGGAGTCCTAAGTCTCCCTTCTTTGGTAGTCTGACAAGGTAGCCTTTCTTACAATCCAGTGGGTATCTTTCATTCTCTCCAAACCTTTTGTAATAATGGCGTGAAAACATCTACCGCAGTCTCTGGGTCCGTTTTCAGTGCTTCTGGGATAATTCCTTCTAGTCATACTGCCTTCCCATCCTTCACTAGATCGACCGTAATAAGGACTTGTGATTTCGTTGGAGGATCGGTGTCCACTGACAGCTCCGTGCGTTCTGGGCGAGTTGCAGGTGATGGTGGATTCAATAGTTCTTCGAGGATATCAGCCCATTGTTTTATTTGTTACTTCTTGGTGATCACATTCCCTTGAGCATCTTTTATTGATTTCATCATCTGGGTTGATCTCTTCCCTAATAGGGAATTGGTTATCTGATATAATGTCCTGATGTCCCTCTTGTCTGCGGTCTGTTCTGCTTTATTTGCCGACCAGTGTGCCGTAGAATTGTCGTTTGTCTTTCCCAGGATTCTTCTCCACTTCTTTATTCAGTACAGTGTACATCAAACTCAGTGCCTCCTTCCGTTGTCCATCTTTGCATTGAGTCATCTCTTTCGCCATCCCCCTCTCTTCTGGTTAGCTTCCAGGTATCCGTTGAGTCACTTCTTGTCTTGTCTCTTCCTTCTTCCTATTACAGTTGTACACGTTTCCTTGAACATCACCTTCAGAGTGTTCCAATGTTCTTCCACACAGGTTTCCTCAGTGATGTCACGTAGTGTATCCGGCTTTGGTCTGATATCTATGGTGAAGGCACCCCTTATAGTTTTGTCCTTCCGTTTCTGAATGTTGAACTTGAGTTGTGACCTGTCTCCATGTGTTTTCATGGACTTCAGCTTCACCTTGAAGGTTTCTTGAACTATATGATGGTATGAGCCCACATCTACTCCCCTTCTCGACATTGTGTCCAGCAGGCTGCGTCTCCACTTCCTTGAGATTGATATGAAATCTATTTGGTTTCTAGTATGTTTGTCAGGTGAAATCCATGTTGCTCTGTGTATATCCTTGTGTTTGTACTTGCTCTCTCTGATCACCAAATAGTTGAAAGAGCAGAAGTCTGCGAATAATTCTCCATTCTCATTCATTTCTCCGAGAGCCTCTTGACCCATGATGAGTTGTATTATCTGTTCCTAGTTTGGCTTGCATTCATATCGCCCATAAGGATTTTAATGTCACCATTTGCGATGTTGTCCATTACTGTTTGTAGTTCTTTGTAAAAAACACCCTTTTTCTTCTATTCTACGTTGTTTGTAGTGCTGTACGTCGTATTGGATGATTTTAACCTTCCTTCCTTTTGAGTTGAGTCTTGCTGTCATAATCCTGCATGAGAAGATTGCTTCCCACTGCAGTAGTGCTTTTGTTGCCACTGGTAACATTATATCCACTCACTGCCTCAGTGTGCTCGTGGTTGTCGTCTGGGTGGCCAGGCCAGAGTAGATTACTGACTCTCCTGTTGACATTTCGGATAATCCACATGCGTTCCACCTGCTTTCTCAGATACCCAGCACTTCTATGCCATATCTTCGCATTTCTTTGGCTACCTGGATAGCCTTCCCTGTCTCGTACATTGTACGGACATTCCACGTTCTTATTCTTATTCTTGCTTTCATCGAGAGAAGACACATCGGTTAGCTGTCTGGCCTCCCAAAGACTTTCACCAGCCCGCGTCATTTTGCCTCTCCGATTTCAGCGGAAAATAAGATTGTTATACGGATTTTTGATATTTTCAATATATTTTTATGCGTTGAAGTTTCTTAAGCGGTAAGATAGATTTAGTAATGTGTGGTTGCTAGCCCCACGCCCAACCCTCCCTCTTTACCCGGGCTTGGGACCGGCTAGCAACCTAGTTAATTAGGCGACGTTGTACGGAGTGAATGGCTTTCCGATTTTATGTTGCTTTGAATATATTAGATTATTCAAGCGTTGTGTTCGCCAAATTTGAGTATTTTTTAGTATTTTACAAATGTTTATTATTTGTTTCTATTTTGCATAAATTATAAATAATGTAGGTCCGTAAAGCGAAAGCGTCGTTTGATCGTCTTAAGGTGGATAGTATGCAGAAGGTTGATTTATTGGCAGCTAGTCGATGCAATATGTTGAGTCATGTGCTTGTTGGCTATCAAAACACATTATTAGTCTTTTTAGAGAAGACATCCCAGTAAGTGTTTGATTTCGTGCCTATAGTAATAATTAATGTGGTAGAATAAAAATGACTGTTTACTTAGTGTTTCTCAATGAGTTAATAGTTTCATGCCCAAGTTTTTTCATCACATAAATTACTTGTTGAATAAGGTAATGTGAAGTTTTATACGTAGTTGTTCGTGTATAATAGTTAAAATTGCTCCTAGCCCTACCTGGTGAGATGCAAGGGGAAAATTGTGTATAAGGTGGGGTGAAGTATCAGAGTTCCACAAGATAACATCAGCAAATTTCTTGCATGAGTTCAAGTGTCTATTAAGAACAGTATTAACGAGTTGATTTAACAACACCCCAACTCCCCATACCGGTAGTATTCAGTGCCATTCGCAGTGTAACAAATTTTTTATTAAGTAGTGGAGCCTGCGCTAAAGATGCTGTTTAGAAGGGCAACGAAAGCTTCTCAGTTAATTCAACCAGCTCAGAAAACACAACCAAATCTTTCTTAAGTATCCCAGGAAAGGTTGAGGTTGAGCAATACAGTAGAATAGGTAGGATAAAAGGGTTAACAGACTGTGGAAGTGTAGACTAAGTGATACCAGATTATCTTAACATCCTTATGTAAAAGGTTCGAGAAAATATCTTTCTAAAAATCAGTATGATGTGGGAAGACCAGGAAACATATAGTCCCAAGATACTTAACATTTGACTTAGTTTCAACTTCAGTGTCGTGTATGATGCAAGAGTCATAGGAACGAACCGGTCTATGTAAATCACGTGTGCCTGAAAGTGAAATTAACAATCTGATACTTTGAGGAATTTAGCTTAAGAGCATTCTACAAGGACCACCGACTAATTTATGATAAGAAGTTGGAACAGTGTGATTGAGATGTAACCGGTATGGGGACAGTCAGATCATTGGTAATAATAAAGTTGGTTTCATTAGAAAGAGGCAAGTCATGTAAGAAGAAAGAAGACAGGAAAGGAGAAAAAACAACTCCTTGAGTGACACTGACTACTGTGAGTATAGCGGTGAAAGACTTTGTAAACAGTGTGCTTCTCTCTATCAGAAAAATATAAATGCAACTATTTGTTAATCCAGCAACCCGTTTCAGTCTCAGGAAGCTTGTTTAACAAAAGAGTCGTGGGTAAAGAGTCAATGGCAGATGTGTAATCTACGAAGGCACACTGAGCATATTTAATAGCTGTCTAGATAGAATATATATATCTTCATTTTATTGCTTTTTGTAAAAAATGTTTTTCAGTATGATGGTGGCAGTGGCAGAAAGTTTCAGAGGTTATCAATACTATGAATTTTCAGTTCTTCGACATTTGAGACCAGAAAGTCGTAAACTAGCCGGATATAAAGGCGACGACGTTAATGAATGGTATGTTTTTTATGCATCATGTTTCAGGTGTTTTCAACTTTTATTTGAATCATTCATTTTTATGCGCAAATTTATTCGAATAATTTTGATATAAACAGTATACAAATATCTTTTCATACCTTTACCTTCCGAGTGGAACACAAGGCTCCAAGCATAAGCTTTAAAATTTCAGTATGAGTGGTGTTGTGTTCCACGGGCTAGAATTGCTAACCTCACGCCCACCCTCCCCTCTTTCATGAGCTTCCTACCTGCAAGATGAATTGTAGGAGTGTGTCGGCCGGGAATCGAACCCGGGTCACACTCTTGGGTGCTGAGCAATCTATCATTGAACCGTTGACGTACTATCTTTACCCTGCCAACCAATTTAGCATATGATTAGCTTCGATACGTCTGCCAAGACTACTGAGAACGAAATTGGTACAACCCATAGTTACTATAAGATTTACTAGTAGTAAGCAAGGCAGCTCAGCTGGGTGCCAACAGTCCTAAACAAGCTTGATACCCGTGCTATTATCTTGCTTCCAATAGTCATCTAAGACTCTCGCTACACCGATTTGCGTTTTCCGACTTTCTGGACCCTGAGTTTTGGGTAGTATTCCTTCAAGCGGAATAAAACGAATTTGTTTTATTTTTTAAACGTTTTACTATCTACTTGTAATCTTGGTACAGAACTTAACTGGTATTATTACAATTTTAACATTAGTTCGGTGGAAAAACTGATTGTCAGGCAATAGTTAAATATAATCGTGGTATGTGAATAGATTGCGTTGTTGATAAAATAAAGCAAATCACTGCAATTACATGTACGTGATGCACACTTCAGAAAAAAGCAAGGATGGTAGAGTAAAATTATTCTGCTCCCATTGTCTCTCCTGACTTGTTCAAAAGCGGTTAATTGATAAAAAATCGACAATATTCATCGCCAAACATGTGGATGTTATTCAAGTAAAAGCAGTCACGTGAACTCAGTGATTAGACTTGTGTATTATATGACCCAGTTGATTATACTGAATGAGCCCACTGTCCCTCTAGCTTTTACCATTTCGGAAAGATCATTTGATTAGTAATAAGATGAAAACAACTGTCGTGTGGTGTATTTGGTTTACACTATACGAGGGATTTAAGGATAGAGTCGTTCTATCATCTGGAAGGATTGTGACAGTAGCCATTTTCCCCTTGGGATCAGTGATCCACATAATCTGACTTTTGATTCTGGGTAGAATAGATATATGAAATGCCGTTCTCGAAAATTGTTCACCGTGAATCACCTTATGACATTCCATCTTAAGTTGTAACGTTTTCGTAAGGGCAGCTCCTTTAATCATGTAACTCATTAAATCAGGTTATCTGTTTATTACCATTTTGACTTTATTTATTTGAATGCTAACGTTTAGCTTCGAGATAAATAATCATGTGTGTTGAGTATTCAGCTGATCAGTTCTACCAGAGTTTTTGAATTTATCACAATTGCTGTTTGTTCTATATATTTAATCAAGTAGTCCATGGGCTCAAACTCTGTTCAACGTGTCAAAGTTTATGCAGACACGTAATATAACCAGCTCTCATACCGTAGATGTGATTCATTGATAAGTGCATTAACAAAAAAAGCAGTTTTAGAATAACGTTAAACTTATTTATAGACATTTGCAAAAATTCTACTTTAAGCAGGTTGTATGTGATTGGTCTCGATCAGTACATTAAATCAAAAGTCCACATTTCATAAATCAGACATAAAGGTGAAGAAAAGGAATGCAATCAAACTACAAATAGTCGAAAATGTGCAGCGAAAAAATAATAACATGAAGTATAGAATGAGGAATTTTGGAATGCAGAGGATGATAAAGAGTAAATACATCTGTTTCGTTCTGAATGATTTTAAGCCGTATGACCAAAGGTGGTCAGCCAGCATTGATTTTTGGCTCGTGGAGGGCGCCATGGAGTCAATCTACACAAACAGTGTGAAAGACTTCACGTGTTGTTAATTCGGTGGCTAGCTTTGACTACTCATGCATTACTCTAACATGATCTTGCCTCAGTTAACTTTGCTCATCGAGGAGAATAGTGAGTGTCCCGGCTTCCATCATCTAAGAGGAGAGATTGAATGGGGACACCTATGGTGAAAAGACTGATCTTTTTATATTTTTGACTTCTTAGTGGATATATCAGACACCTGTGTGGAGAAGTAGGGGTCGAAGTTGTGTAGAGTGGAGAAGCGATTTGATAGATAGATAGATAGATACCAGGCGTGCAAGTCGGTAAATGCCAAAGGAGCGATTTACTTGAGTGGTGCGATTTAGTCAATTAGCAGTGTATTAGTTGGTTGGCGGTGATGCAGCTTCGCAAATAAGTGAGGTGGTGAACACATCCAACTATTGGAGGTGAATTTGCCAATTAATGGCAAACGAAACATACTGTGTTCATGGATGTTTCACCATTTAATGATGATAATAGCTCTATTTAAGTAATGTTAAACCAGAATTTACAAAATCTCAGCTTATTTACAATAACAATCACTGTTTTTTAGCATGAAATAATTCTACGTTGTCAAGTAGATGAATTGGTAAAGATAACAAATCATGTACAAACTGTTAAGTTTCCTGAATGATGAATAAATTATAAAACCAGAATGCATTTACGTAGTGAAAATACTACTATTTCCCCGTCTATTTAAATTTTCCGTTAAATGTAACGCAGTTGAAGTAAGTTAGTTGATGGTGACTAGCAGTGGAATCCAGGATACGCATTTCGTTCTACTTGGGACTTACCGGCTGGATGTACCTGCATTCCCCCTGCGAATGGATGGCGTTTGAAGCTATGGGCACTGGGTTCGAGCCTCGGTGGGAACACCATCACTCACTGCGGAATTCAGGTACATCCAAGTTACGAGTCCCAAATAGAACAAAATCCGCATACTGAGTTCCACTGCTAGTCATCAACCAATTGACCTCAAGTTACATGACCAGACATCATCGAAACATCTACACAAAGAGCCTACATGTCAACTTGAGACCGAGCACTTCAGTCCAATCAATCGACGGGAAAATCTAAATTGAATTAAATGTAAGGTAGTTGGTTTACAAAGAGAGTTATAAGGTCTCTTAATCGTTTCAATGGTTGTTTTCAGTGGGCGTCTTTCTTATGCAGTTGTGTATTCTATCCTAGTAAACTGGAAATGATATTAAGACTTTCAGTAAGATGAATTGCTAGTATGTATTGAATTAATATCTTATGTAACCCTAATATCTTCATCGATCTTCTGACTTTCTGTTCTGTATCAGAAATCAAACGAATCCCTAAAAATATGTTGAGTTTATTTTCGAAAGGTTTCATTACTAAAGATTATAAGTTGATGAATTGGTAAAATCCAGTTACTGGTCGTAATGGGACTACAGGTTTATATTTTTGACGGACCTTAGATTCTTCAGGTTTTTAAGTTTCGGTTCTTGAAAAAATCAACGACAATGGGCATAGTTTACAGGCAGTCCTTACCCCATATTAAATCAAACATGTCAGACAGGATGATTAGAAGACTAATCAGTAAATGAAATATCAGGGTTTTCTTCAAAATGTTAGACGTACTAAAAGGCCACATTGTTCATTTGAAAGACTGCATTGCAAAGAATTGAGAGTCTAACCACTCCTAAATGCTCAGAATATGATGCGATAGACGTGCAAGTTGTTGTAGGATACATATTTCACTTTTTACTAGCATTATTTCCATGGTTTTAAACAGTTATTGTTGTAACTGATTAAAAATGCCCATTAAAATGTGTTCAAAAGAATCGCTATTGAACAAAGAATATTCTTTGCGATAACTTCATCGTCAGGTCCTATGGTTATATATATATATATATATATATATAAAGTAGTGAATGAATGAATGTTGTTTCACACACTGAATATCAGAAAAATTAGGAAAGATAATACAAATTCATGAATTTATAGTCTCAACTGAGAGCCGGCCAGGGCAGTAGTAGTGGCTGAACTTGCTTCTTTTGCATACGAAGGACTGGTTGTTTCACGCGAATCGCGATAGCCTATGCTGTTTGGAGTATACGGCACCTGGATGTTTTTCGCAATTTGTTTGGTACCCGATGGATGATGCAGAAGGACTCCTGAATATTGGCTTTGTGGCAGGTTTTGGACCAGGTGTTCTAATATAGAGCTATTGATGGTTTTTGGTACACCTTTACTTAACCACACTGGTAGATATTCCCCGAACAAACACGAAAAATCAAGTTGCTAGAGCAACGGCCAATATAACTCGCTCCACAAGCGCTTTTGAATCAGTAGATACGGTTAGAAGTGTCTAGTCTAGGTACTTCATCTTTCAATTGGGGAATCACCATCGGTCGTATAGAAAACATGACTTATTATTACTATTATTCCACATTAGGACATCAAAACCGTAATATTCTTTTTGTTAAACAATCAGAATCCACGAGTTATTGAATTACGGTTGGAATGGTCAACGAGCCTCGATCTGATAACCTTAAGGTGCCGGGTTCGACCCCTTGGTGGGGTTGTTTGTATGCACTTCTGAATACTCTCCAAACTAGGCCGAAACAGCCACCCAGTGCCCCCCTGGTGAAATGCTGGCTCATGAATAAATCTACCAGCTGAAATTAATCTGAATCCCAAAACACTAAATAGTATGCTGGCTTTCTTCGACGTCACCTTCAACATCATAATGTTGTGTAGTTAGTCAGTTACAAGTGAATATACAGCTGATTGCGCTTCAATATTCAGGTTTCTACAAAGAATGTTGTATACTTTTGATATGAATAAATACTTTTGTGATTTCTTTTGCTTTCTGTTAAAAATCCCAGCAAAGATGAATCTGTGAATGTAAAAGAAGATAGTAACGACGAAAAGGATGAAGAAAAAAGGGATGAGGAATGGAATGAATGTAATTCTTCTTCTTCCTCCTCCTCTAGTGGTAGTGTTGGACACATATATAATCAAAGCTCAAGATATTGTAAAGCTTCCTGTGTATTATCATCAGTACATTCTTGCGTCCCTATTGGATATGAAGCCTTAAAGTGTGATGGTAGTTTGGAAAAACAAAAGGCATTAACTTGGTAAATGTGTGTGTGTGTGTGTATGTGTGTAGGCTTGGTTTACCTTGCACAAACGCAACTATACTGCAAAATTACAACCTCATTTTCTCATTGTTTCTTTTAAATTCCGTACACTTTAAAATACTTTTGGTGGAGGAAATATTTTATTTTTATAGTTTTTGTTTGTATATATGTGCATAACACTTCTACATGTTGTGTATTTTGGTTTTATTGTTTTTCTCTTTAACTTATTGAGTACTGTGTATCGAATATGTTATATTTACACACCTTATGATATCGTATGATAGATAATTATTACTTTCAGCTTACACAGATGATAATTTAACCTGATCCTAAACTTCATCTTGATTTCTATACAGACTAGTCATTATTATTGCTATTATTATTCCCTTTGGTTCCGAGGAAAACATAAGGGCTCAACAACACGCCTACATTTCATCCTATTTTCTGAATCTGCAGTTGTCCATAATCTTTCATTTCCTTTTCACATTATCTCCATGTCACCCTTGGGTACTTGTCCAATTCGTTGATTCCCATTCGAGTTCCGCTCGTGCAGTATACGTCACTCACTCAACGGTCTCTTCAACGGGTGTCCGATCAATCTCCAGCTTCTTGGAATTATTTTTTTGGGCAATAGGTTCTTGGTTGATCCGTTGCCTGTCAGAGCTACTTGTGTCGCTAATCCTTTCTGGGTTGACCATCTAATCTTCAGTCTTTTGGAGGAATGCTTTTGGTAACACTTGTGTCAAGTATCTGAAACATACAGAAGAAAGTTCAAAGGAAAAGTTTTGATGTTAGTGTTGGGAATTCGACTAGGAATAAGGAGTCAAAAGCTTTAATTTGTTAATTTCTCCATCCACAAACGAATTTATGTATATATGTACTGTTAGGTTGGTGTAAAAGTTCGAGTATGGTATTGATTGTACTGTTACATCGTCCCTGAGATTGTCAAGCTATTTTTTCCTGTTTCTTAGATCCGAATGTTTTGGTTTAGTTTCTTTAATTTTAGTTTTACAGTTCCAAGATATGAAATTTTTGGTTTTAAATGAATGGTTTAGCTAGCTGAATGCCTTGTCTAATGAATATTGTTCTTTAGAAGTACTGATCATCTTGGTGAATTATTAGTAGGGATAATCAGTGTTCGAGGTGCATCGGTAGTTCAACGGCAGAACGTTCGCCAACCACACCTCACACGTGGTCTAGGGTTCGTTCCCTGGCTGACATACTCCTAAACCCTACTTAGCGGGTAGTAAACCTTGCAAAGAAGGAGAAAAGAATAACACTGCCAAAACTTCAAAGCTCATGTCTTACGTTCTACTCGGAATACAAAGAGATAAAAACAGTTGAGAACTCTTGAAAATTAGTGTATTCAAGTTGATGGAGAATGTTGTTCACTACTAATAGTAGTGTTCACAACTTTGTCACTCATGTAATTTTTAGTTTAAGCAGGACACAAACCGATACTATCAATACTAGAGAATGTATTATTCCGTTTGTTTTCAAATTGTTACAATTTCGTTGGAGATTTCAGATCCCTGCAAAAAAAAAAACAATTTAAAAAATGAGATATTGTAGTCAATGTGAAAAGCTTCTTTTGTGTAAATATCAAACAGTCTAGTGTGTGTATTCTGAACCGTGTTGCATAGATTCTCTAACCAACAGGGCGTTGTGGCCATGTGAACTTTAGTCTGGCAAGCTGCATTTAAATACCTCACTCAGATCAACAGTCAGTCAATAACTTTATGGATTTTCTCTCATGATGTCTGTCAGCATCCTTATCTTGTTGCCAGCCTATTTGTATATGTAAACAGTAAACTGAAACTGATAGTTGATTAGGCATACCTAACGGATTTGCATCACTTTAGATGATGTATATTTATATAATTGCTCTTATTAACTTAACCATGTTACCTAAGATTCTAAACCTAACTTTTGTGTTGCTCTCACTTGGTGGTTACGCAGAAGGTGCGCGATGAGATATTGATTACCATATGTCCGAAGTATCTGGAGGTCCTCCATCTTTAGGTGGCCATGTTTCGCGGTCTGGTTAAGTCATAGTTCTTAAGCCTTGTTAGAATTCAATTACCTCGAATGAATGTTACTTGTACCATTTAGTGAGCCACACTTATTGTCTGGTGATAAAGTCAAAGGAGGATATAAACCCGTGGATGAAAGTTGAGTCGTTAAGGTATTCAGCCTGAATACCCTTTAACTTTCAAATAATACGTCTGTAGTTTAATTCTGTATTTTTCATTATGAGACTGGATTTTACAGCAAATCCGCAGCTTGGTACTTGAAAGAACACATCAAGTAGTAGCTTAGTTGCCAAAAAGCAATAGATATCAGCTAACAAAGGAAAATGAATGGTGATAGAATTTAAACATCGGTGTTTTATGTGTTAATCACTTTTTGTGTGTTCTGTGATTTTCACCTATGGGTGACTGTATTATTTCTGTAGTAATATGATCAATTAGTTTACCACTACTATTTTAATTAATCTGTATGTATTGCTGATTTTACGTATTCTGTTTAATAGGCGGGATGATGAAACCAAATCAACGACTGACACAAAAGACAATACTAATAGTAGCAATAATAATAACAATAATTCTACTACTGACAAACATGAAACCCGTGAAATAAATTTAATTGCCAATGAAGAAGAATTAGATAAACGATTAGATGAAATATTTCGTGAAAATAATCCCAACAGTAGTAATCAAAATATTACAGACATCAATTCAACTGGACACACTTATAGTGAAGAAATGTTGAAAAATATAAATCTTAGAACTGACGATAATCAAGATGGTAATACTGGTAAGATTGCTTTACTTGTTAATTCAATATTTTCGTGTTATGAATTCATTAACTGACCAGTATGTATGGTGCATTGTCAGTTGTTTGTCGGTCTCATAAACAACATGGTACGACTGAGGGGGGTTGGCTATTCTGTATTCCTCTCTCTCGAAATGCTCGCATGTCGTTATGCGTTCATAGTCTCTTCCACCACGTAAGTCTTATTCACTGCCTTCACCCGGTGGGAGTGTTCGTTACAAAAGTGAAAAGTAGAGAGTAGACTGGTGTACTTGTAGGTCTACCTGGATGAGCTGAAAAACCTTGATTCCAAACCTGTGATGTACATAGGCTCCAGAATCCGAAAGGATCGATTGGCGTATGGACCTGTTTTGCTCAGTGTCAACTACGGGAATTTAGTTACCAACGCTGCTCTACTGCTTTTTGGATGGAACTTCAAGTCAAAGGTTCTTCGGCGCAAGGAGGTGGGAGTTGCCTCTTAAGGGGTCCACGTGCTTCGGTCTAGGTATCCAAGCTGTATCCCAACCCTCACACAAAGTATGACATTTTGTGGGATGCATCTGTTGGTGCGCATAATGTACCAAGTTTGTGTTTGAATAAATCGGTAATATATGTCCTTACTCTCATCGTTTATTTACTGCCTATAATATCAATAGTAACATGATTCGATGATCACTTATATTTATATACATTGTTATAAGTCACGATATATTCGCATTGCTTTTTAAGGTTCGATGAAATACGAGTGAAATCACTATAAAGCCCCTATTTCAATATCCACTTTAGAATGAGATGGAGCTTCTTACTGAGCTTATTTAGCATTCTCTTAATGATAAAGGAGCTACAACTGGTCAGTGTTGAGAGTGAATTATATCTCGAATCAACATGTTTTCAAACAATGCAATAGTTTCAAAGGCCATATTTCATAAATCAGACATAAAGTTGAAGAAAAGGAATGCAATCAAACTACAAATACTCGAAAATGTGCAGCGAAAAAATAACATGAAGTATAGAATGAGGAATTTTGGAATGCAGAGGATGATAAAGAGTAAATACATCTGTTTCGTTCTGAATGATTTTAAGCCGTATGACCAAAGGTGGTCAGCCAGCATTGATTCTTGGCTCGTGGAGGGCGCCATGGAGTCAATCTACACAAACAGTGTGAAAGACTTCACGTGTTGTTAATTCGGTGGCTAGCTTTGACTACTCATGCATTACTCTAACATGATCTTGCCTCAGTTAACTTTGCTCATTGAGGAGAATAGTGAGTGTCCCGGCTTCCATCATCTAAGAGGAGAGATTGAATGGGGACACCTATGGTGAAAAGACTGATCTTTTTATATTTTTGACTTCTTAGTGGATATATCAGACACCTGTGTGGAGAAGTAGGGGTCGAAGTTGTGTAGAGTGGAGAAGCGATTTGATAGATAGATAGATAGATACCAGGCGTGCAAGTCGGTAAATGCCAAAGGAGCGATTTACTTGAGTGGTGCGATTTAGTCAATTAGCAGTGTATTAGTTGGTTGGCGGTGATGCAGCTTCGCAAATAAGTGAGGTGGTGAACACATCCAACTATTAGACGTGTGTATTCCTTAGACTAGTAGTCAGTGCAGACTAAGTCCTTCATGCATCCATCACCATATTCGATGATATTCTGACTATACTAGGACGTTTGCCGAAGGTGTTCAGTAGACTCGTCATTCTGTTAGTTTCTTTATCTAATTATTATTGTTATTATTATTTGATCCACAAAATCACTGTCATTGGTTAAAATTTTATATATATAAGTCTATGTAAATTAGAGTAAAGCCTGAAGAAAATCTAATTGAAAACAATATTGTTCGCTTATATGTCTTGTTCTAATATGTTGAAGGACTCTATCTTATAGGAATCGACTTTAATTAGTGATCATTTTCTGATTCATCACGTGTTTTATCTTGTGATATAATGACTTTAAAATTTCATCGTTTTTCTCTTACCTTGGTCTTGATCACACTGCCAACCAATCAGAATATTTATTTTTTTGTCGACCTAACGGAATCGCCTACCAATCAGAACACTGTATTTTCGCTACCCTGGGCAAGTTTTAATGTGGTTAAACAATATATAGCGTGTTAAGAAAATTGTATCCTAACAATCACTGACCAGTCTTTGTTTTTTGATATTCGCGTGGCTCAGTGAATCAGAGGTATCACAAATGAATAGGTGTTTTCAGAGTATCAGTTGAGTTGTTGATTGCGTCAGTATCGTTATACCCATACATAAGTTTACTCGGTCTTATCGACGAGATTACTACTAATTTGCGACAGGTGCATAACAAATCGTCTGTGAGTTCAATTCAGCTGGCAACATGGATCATATCAATATCATTGGCGTACTGTCGATCTATGGAAAGAAGTTCGTCATTAAAATGGCGAAGTTGACAAGTCTTCATATCCGTTGTTATTAGAACTTATTGGGATAGGCATACCTGGCCGACCACCATATCGGTTTCTGTTGGTTGTATGTATACCTGCTAATAATTAGCCTTAGTAATAGCCGGTGAAAATGATTCACTAGGTATCAGGTGATTATTTAGGTAATGACATATTCATTTCATAGTCTGTTCGATCGTCTTGAAGTCGACCTATTTCAGAAATGTTTGTAGGGTATTACGTGAAATCTCTACGTATTTATTCATTCTTATTTGTGATTTGCATTGGATTCTTTAGCTGAAGCCTACCTCTATATTCTCTACTGTGTTAACCGAGTCGATGTCACTTTAACAGGTAATCACTCCTGTGTTATCTGTCGACTGACCTATAAAAATAGTCTCCGAATAGCAATAGCCGGAATCTTTCGAATAGCATAAGATTCCAAATCGTTGCTGATAAATTTGACTAATGATTGGCAGTAAACAAAAACACCCAAGTTGTGGGGGTTATGGTGTACTAATTTGATGATAACCTTTCATTTCAGTCAAGTGGAAATCCACTGTGCAAATGGACCTCATCATGCACTATATTTTTTAAAATTTCATTTTATTCCTTTGCCTTCCCAGTGGAATATGGGGCTTCAAGTGCGAGGTTTGGGTTTTCAGTAGCAGTGATGTTTATTTTTCAGAGCGTGAAGTTGCTAGCCAAACCTTCATTCTTTACCGGAGATAATGTTGGCTGAGGTTTAGGAATGTGTTGGCCTGGGATAGAAGCACGGACTATGTATGACATGGTTGCCGAGTATTCTACCACTGAATCACAGGCGTGCATTATCGCACATTTGTTTGAATAGATGCTTCTGAAAATGAAAAAGCTCCGGATGTTTAAAATCCCGTACTATGCAGGTTAGCGTGAAAATCTTTTCGCCACATTTTTCGTCTTAAACTCAAGATATTCAAGTCATCATTTGCTATCAGCTTGCAACTCTTGTACACGATAGTAAGAAAGAGGATAGAAATGAAAAATTAATTGATATAAAAACAGTTTAAAATGAATATTACAGGAATTTTATATTTGCCTCAATCATGGATCATTTTCCGTATCCCCTGATTTCATTCGCCACATGAATATTGCATTTGTAATGAAGTTACACTACCATAATTCCGAACTGACTTGACTCACTGACTGGTTTCAACGTAGAATTTTGCACAGATGTATAGCAGTTCGACATACCACACCATGTAGTACACAAAGCAAGATAAGAGAGTAAAGAGAGATAATAAACAGAAATATGAGGCAAAAACAACAGTAATATGGAAAAAAACAATAGAATTCTATCGGATATGATGAATCACGAGGAGTGAATGCATCTGTGCACCATTGACAACGATTTTGAGCCCTACCGTCAATTGTCTCCAACCATTGGTTTTTATCATCCCCAGAACCCCAGCCCGTCAGGAACTTAACACCTTGCTATGTAGATGGCCGGCCTAAACTAACTGTTGGGGATTTCATTGGCTGATGAAGTCATTGATTTTCCCTCCTTATCCAGAACTCGACGCCTAACCTCAATATTGCTCACCCTATTATGTCACTCAACAAACGCGGGAGATAGTAGGCAGACATCTATGATCAAAGACAGCTAGCCTTTTCATATGTTCCACTCTCAGTGTCCATGGTTTGCTCATATTCATAAAGGAGGACGGAGAGAACTGCTAAGCGGTACACACAGCCTTTGGTCGATAGCGAGCCAGATATCACTTCTGCGCCAGAGACGGCGTAAACTGGCATATGCGAAACGAGCCTTCTGTATCCGTACTGTGATTTCGTCAGAGATCAACCCGTTGAGGCTGATGCAGCTTCTTAAATAAGTGAAGTGGTCAATGTATGTAGTCCAGTCCTGTAACATCCTTTCACATTTGGCGGGAGTGATTCGCATGCCAAACATTCGTAGATTGCAGCTCAAGGTGTTCAGAAGACTGCTGGGTTTTGTCAGCGTCTTCACCTAGGAGCAAGACTACATCATCTGCATATTCTAAGTCAACGAGATTATTCCCTGTTGGTAACAAGTCAATCCCTGTGTCTCTGAAGTCAGTTAGGGTTAAGTCCATTAGTACATCTATGATGAAATTGAATAGAAATGGGGATAATGGGCATCCCTCCCTGACAGACACCACTAGTTGTCACCACTTCAGATGACGACTCACCATAAGGCCTCACCTGGCTGCATGATTTCGAGTAGAGTGCCTTGATCAATGCGATGTGTTTTCTTGGGATTCCCTTTACAGCCAAGCATCTCCAGAGTACCTCTCAGTTGACGGAATCGAATGTCGGCTTTAGGTCAAGAAATATGACGATTGTTGGGAGCCGGTAGGAATGCCTATGTTCCAGAATCTGTCGAAGGGTGAAGATATGATCAATATACACTCTTCTTGCTCTGAAGGCAATGTGGTTTTCTCTTGTTTGTGCCTCCTGAGCACCACTTAGTCTGCGCATGATTATTGAGCTTAGGACTTTAGATACCATATAAGTCAGTCTGATTCCCGTGTGAATAACACAAGATAATCAATGGCTCACACGAACCCGACGGGACTTCCTCTGGTTTTCAGACGCTGCCTAGTACCTTAGTTAACGCAGACAGTACCGAAGCTCACGTTCTCAGTGTCTTATCATCTATGGTTTTCACTTGTCTGTGAAACTTATGAAAATATCTCTGTCTTACTTGTAACGAGAATCAGTGACTTTGTACATTGGTTTAATTTGTGCTTCTGCACTATGCATTGACTTTCTTACGACTTAATCCGTTTTTTCAGGTAACCTTTTTAATATCCTTTACAACATATGTGTAGATCTTACCTAGGTTGTCTTGGAAGAGGTTAACTATCACTCATGTTCCTACCAAACTTTTTTTTTAATTTATAGGATTTCTAGATTTGTCACAAAGCTTTGCTGGTATGATTCTGCATGTATATTCTGTGTCTCTGTAAATATATGTACATATATATATATATTATGCAGTAGAGATTATCGTTTTCATTTTTTATTTGATGTTGTGACGCAAGAGAGTTTCTGTGTAGTTGCATTTTGGAGAATTGAGTGGTATTTTTTTCTATGACAAGAAATTGTCCTTACAAATACATTGTATCAGTTTATTCAAACTCTATCACACGTGTTTCATTGAATTTTTCAAAATATGTATGCAAAGTAAATTATCAAGTGTTGTTATTATTGTATTTCTGTTTGTATATGTGTGTGTTCAGGTTTCGTCGTGTTAATCATTCATATTATCTATTTTTATTCCTTTGCCATCCGAATTCAAGTTTGAGCTTTGAATTTTCAGTAGCGGAGGTGTTTACTTTTGTTACAGAGTGGCTTTGCTAATCTCACATCAAAGCTTCTCTCTTTACCAGACTTACTAAGGGGCTAAGCAAAGTTTAAGAGTGCAGCAACGGTGGGGTTCCAACCCTAGACCACGTGTGAGACATGGTTGGCGAGTGTTCTACCTCAGAGTCACCGACGCTGAATCACTCGCTATTAAGCGTAATAAGTGAAATTCAGTTTTCACTTAATTGTCTCTTCATACGCTTTTTAATTTGTAAACGAACAGTTTACAATGAGGTTTGAAATTCATCATTTTCCTTCTCTATAAGTCAACGGCCTTTCAATTTAGTCACTAAACACTGTTCTCCTCATTTTAAAATATCGTTAGTTTTTGGGCTTTTTATTTCAAGGTCGAAAATCCATACTGTCTCTACTTTCTTTTAGTAATGGTTATCTAGGTGATATTGGCAAATGGGTAACAAAATTCGTCGTAATATCTCAAATAAGCTATACTTTACAACAGGTAGATGTTTGTTATGCACCACAGAATGATATCACATTCTGTTCTGATTCCCCAAGAGGCTGGGATGAGTATGCTCGGTTCTCCTGAGAACCAACGTATAATAAATACCCAGTCAATGGTTGTATCAAATGGTTGTGTTATAGCTTGCTGAAAATTCCACATTGTATCAGTTGTACTGTTTGGAATAAATTCTTTGTATGATAGGTTGAAAACGTTTCAACTGTACATTATTAATGATCAGGGAAGCCTTATGGAAGGATGTGTTGGCCGCCCATATCGTAGAAGTTAACTGTACTCTCTAATCATATTGATATATCGATTTTTAGATCTCACTTTAAGTATGTAAAATTAAACAGTGATTTCAATATTTTAAGTCAATGTGAAATATGTATTTGTTTTGGTTCTCGATATTCTAGTTTTATCATGATCCATCACTTCAAATATATAGTAAGAATGTAGGTATTACGGATTTCCTTTTCATGTACTAGGCTGTGAGTAACATTCAGTTTGTTTAAGACATTGTTGTATTGTGTGGTCGCATTCAGGTTAAAGGAAGTGTATCAGGAAATCAAATTCAGAAACTGTCTAAATAAAAGTTAAATGCATATTTTAGTCAAGTGATTGATCAAATTTCCCCTTTTCAGTATGCACTAAACACAGTAAACACTAAAATGACTAGATGGTGGTTATAGGCAATTGGTAGGAACCCTTGGACGTAGGTTTCATGCTTGTTGGCACTTGTCAACAAGGCGTATCTTCTACAATCTTGAAGGAACGCATATCCTTTCGGAGATTCGAACCAGGGTTGGTTAGAGATATTTTCACTGATAGAATTCAATATCCTCCCCAAACAAAGGACTAGGCACATGACATTAGTTACTGCCTAGTGTCAAATCAAATGGAAATGACTAGTTTATGAAAAATCAATCCTTGTCTTTTATTCTTCTTCCTTCCCCCCATTCTTATAATCAATGAATCCCTTTTTGTATTTATCATTTCACTGATTTTATTCTACGTTGCATTATTGTTGAGTAATTGGTTATACATGTCCTGTACTGACGTCAGTACTACCAGAAATTTATATTTATCTATTAAATTTGTAGATTTCTTATCTGAGTCAAATGAAAATGTTCCCGCGGAACACAGAGATTTGTTTTCTGATTTATTTTCTATGGATACGAAAAATGATAAGTTTGTGGGACAGTCCTCTGGAGTAGATATTCGTGAGTCTTAGTAATAAATTCAATAATAATAGTAAAATTAATAGTAATAATCCCCTTAGGGTTATTTTGTAAAACTGTTGCTGTAATTCATTAACATTGGCATCTGACTTTCAGCCACTAGATTTAAGTTTCACCACATTTACAAAGTTTAGGATACAGGTTTGATCACAAGATGACTTCAACTGGAAAACCATTGGGAAACCAATATGGAGTACTAGATAGCTGTTCCGTCTTAGTTTGCGACTCTTCGGCAGTGTTCAGTCACCTCCGGGATTCGAATCCAGGGAACTTCCCAGTTACAAGGCGAGCTCGTAGACCATTCAACCACCGGGGCTTGATCCAACGGGCCATGAATTACAACTTCTGCTGATTCGCGATATACAGCTCAACTGCCAGTCAGTATCACCGGCGTGTAATCGGACTTGGGGACCTCCTTGATCTCGGTAACCATATCTTGTCATGTCCCATCATTATTATTTCCTTGGGTTCCGAGTAGAACATGAGGCTTCACCAACACATCTCCACTTTGTTCTATTTTCTGCCACCCTCTTTGGCTGGGTCCACGATTGACCATAATCTCTCATCTCCTCTTCGCATAATATCCTCCATGTTACCCCACATTGACGACCCACTCGTCGCTCCTCATTTGGATTCCACTCGAGGTCCTGGCGCGTGATGTCATTCGATGGTTTCTTCAATGTATGCCTGACCCATCTCCATTTTCTTATACATATTTTAAAAATAAAGATAAAAAGTATACACATGAATAATTTTTTGGTTTAAAATGTCAAGTAAGTCAAGTGGAAAAGATTCAGAATGAGAGTCGTAATAATAATAATAATAATAATCGAAGTAATAAGGGGAAAGTACATAGAATAACTACATAAATAAAATAAATAAATGTCTATCCCTCTACGGCCAAGGCAGCAGTAGGGATTGTACATACTTCTTTTGTACACAAAGGTCTGGCTTAAAGTCATGAATTGCCAAGGCCTCAGCTGTCTTTAGAAGTCTGTAACGAAGAAAATGCATGAATTCTATATATGACCTTGAAATCATGGTCAGGGTTGACCGAGTGACAGGAGTCGATGAGGTGTTCTAAGATAGAGCTTCGCACACATTTCCTTTCTCCCTTGTAAAACCAAGCTGGAATATGTTCTCGTATCCGTGTGGAGAGCATTCTCTGACTACGGCCAATGTACCTTGCTCCACAAGAGCAGGTGAACTGGTAGATGCACATGGAGGCGGTCAGACGGGGGAGCTTATCTTTTACAGAGGTAGAGAACAGTTTGCGGCTCGTGAACGTCATATGTAATCTAGCTGCAGGGAACGTTTTACTAACTGATTTAGAAAGACGATTTTTGAGAATATCAGAAGCTTGATCTCCTTTGAATTCCAAGTTCACGAATAAGGTTTTCTTTGGAACTGAGTCAGTGACCAGTTTAGACTGCTTATCTTTCATGTTTCTGTCAATAAATCGGTTAGGGTAACCGTTTTCTGCGAGTGTGGCTTTCAGGAAGTCAAGTTCTGAGTCGACGCAATCAGAACTACAAATTTTCCTTATCCTAAAGCAGAGTGAATGGATTAAATTCCTTTTCCTGGAAATAGGCACCCAACTGTAAAAATTAGTTAGTTGTCCGTTCCATGTACGTTTTCGGTGGATCGATCTTTTGAGAGATCCGTCATTACGTCTGCTAAGGCACACATCAAGAAACGGAATACTTAGTTCCGATTCCTTTTCTATGGTGAATTGTAAAGAAGGATGGCAGTTGTTGAAGGCGAACAAGACATCATCAAGAACTACGTTCTTATCGCAGATGACGAAAGTGTCGTCTACGTATCTTTTATAAATGTCAAAATGCCCGATGGTTTGACTAAGTTGAGAATTTTCCAGCTTTGCCATAAAACAATCAGCTAACAAAGGACCCAGTGGTGATCCCATGGCAATGCCATCTCTCTGTCTATAGATCTCATTGTTGAAGGTGAACTGAACATTCAACGTGCATCTCAATAAAAGTTCTTTGAGGTGGATTGTCGGTAAACCTATTTCCAAACCATGTGTATCAATATACTCACATAAATAGCTAACGGTTTCCATGATGACAGCAATCAAGAACTGTGGATTTAAAGTATTGGAATTCCTCAGGCTGATTGTTTTATGGCAAAGCTGGAAAATTCTCAACTTAGTCAAACCATCGGGCATTTTGACATTTACAAAAGATACGTAGACGACACTTTCGTCATCTGCGATAAGAACGTAGTTCTAGATGATGTCTTGTTCGCCTTCAACAACTGCCATCCTTCTTTACAATTCACCATAGAAAAGGAATCTGAACTAAGTATTCCGTTTCTTGATGTGTGCCTCAGCAGACGTAATGACGGATCTCTCAAAAGATCTACCCACCGAAAACGTACATGGAACGGACAACTAACTAATTTTTACAGTTGGGTGCCTATTTCTAGGAAAAGGAATTTAATCCATTCACTCTGCTTTAGGATAAGGAAAATTTGTAGTTCTGATTGCGTCGACTCAGAACTTGACTTCCTGAAAGCCACACTCGCAGAAAACGGTTACCCTAACCGATTTATTGACAGAAACATGAAAGATAAGCAGCCTAAACTGGTCACCGACTCAGTTCCAAAGAAAACCTTATTCTTGAACTTGGAATTCAAAGGAGATCAAGCTTCGGATATTCTCAAAAATCGTCTTTCTAAATCAGTTAGTAAAACGTTCCCTGCAGCTAGATTACATATGACGTTCACGAGCCGCAAATTGTTCCCTACCTCTGTAAAAGATAAGCTCCCCCGTCTGACCGCCTCCATGTGCATCTACCAGTTCACCTGCTCTTGTGGAGCGAGGTACATTGGCCGTAGTCAGAGAATGCTCTCCACACGGATACGAGAACATGTTCCAGCTTGGTTTTACAAGGGAGAAAGGAAATGTGTGCGAAGCTCTATCTTAGAACACCTCATCGACTCCTGTCACTCGGTCAACCCTGACCATGATTTCAAGGTCATATATAGAATTCATGCATTTTCTTCGTTACAGACTTCTAAAGACAGCTGAGGCCTTGGCAATTCATGTGACTTTAAGCCAGACCTTTGTGTACAAAAGAAGTATGTACAATCCCTACTGCTGCCTTGGCCGTAGAGGGATAGACATTTATTTATTTTATTTATGTAGTTATTCTATGTACTTTCCCCTTATTACTTCGATTATTATTATTATTATTATTACGACTCTCATTCTGAATCTTTTCCACTTGACTTACATGACATTTTAAACCAAAAAATTATACATATTTGTTGAACAATCGGCTCTTGTTTGGTTCGTCACCCCTCAGAGTTTCTTGTTGCTCATTCTTGCTGGCCATTTCATCTTCGATAACTTTATTGGGGGATTTTGTTGTGTGCATCTTAGACACTCCTCTTATTGTCCATGTACTTAGCTCCACAGGATCAAGTGAATTGATGATATGCACATGTTTCCAACAGTGGAGCAGTGTCTTTGACATTTTGATAAATGCCAGGTTGTGTGAAGAGACTGAAACGTGTAATGATACAGTGAAGAATGTTTTTCCAAGTCGCTCTCGATAATTTGATTCGAAGAATTGCAGCTGTTGTATCATCTTTGAATTTCAGACTTACAACTAAATTTCTCTCTGGTACTTCTGTATTTTGTGGATTTTCCATCTTACGTTTCACATATTTATCGATGAATACTGGTGGATAACCATTTTGAATTACCGTTGTGGAAATGCTCCAGTGTGTCTTCTGCTCATACGCAGCTGATATTCTTTTGAGAAGGGATTTGATGAGGTTGGTTTTTCTACTTAATTGGATAAAGCCGTAGAAGCTAGTCAGCAACTGCCCATTCCATTTTAATTTGTTTTGAATTGATCTCTTGATTCGTCCATCATTTATATCTCTTCGAGAGCTGAACATCTAAGAAAGAGAGCTTTCCTTCTGATTCAAAATTTAGAGTAAGATTAACGTTCTCTTCAGAGTTTTATCCCTCTTCTGTGCGTTCCTTTCTGTCCACTTTTCCAGTTACATATGATGCATAATCATTGATTTTACCCAAAACTTCACACTATATATTATTGTTATAAGTACCATACATCTCAGTAGTATCAAAACACCGTATGTCATTGTTCCTTTGATGCGTTTCGCTATCCAACTCATCGTCCTATATTAAGTCTTTATTATTTGTTTGATGATCTAATATGTATAATAGATTTCCCATTTACATTCAAGTTCTCAGAACACGATATGCATGTCGGTGACTACTGTGTTTCCTGATACCTCACTCATTTTATGTTTCGAATGCGTTACATATTTCAAGGTACTAATTCATTTAAACATAATTACTTTGACAGTCAATACACTATATATACATAATTTCGTTTTTATCTTCTTTTTGTCAACTAATCAAGCATCTTTTGATTCAACGAATAAAAGTGGATTATTCGCTGCTGAATGGGATGCTGTGTTTGGAGAATTCGATCGGCAACCTAGTCAAAATGATGATTTTGGGCCTATGCAAAGTGTCGAGTCGAAAGTAAGGAGTTTCAAAGCACAGCATAATATATCTTACTGTTTATAATGCGCATATATATGTTATAAAAATTAATTTTGTTAACTTATGCATTATTATTATTCCTGTAGGTACCGAGCGAAACATAGCACTTCAACAGTATATATCCGTTTTATTTTTGTTTTTTGCAGTCCTCTTTACGTGGCCCCTTGATTGTCTATAAACACAGTCACTTCCTCCCTATACTATCTTTTTGAGAAGATGATCATTTGAAGTCCTGTCTTGACTGCTTCTTTTGCGAAGGTGTTGGTTTTCACCTGTAGATCTTCGGATTTGTGTGACATTGATATAAATAGTTCATGAGGTCCAAATCGTCTGTAGTCTTCTTGTAGGTCTAACATATTTTTGTCTTTTTGCTCCTCACTGCCTGGAGCATAATACAGTCCACCACAATAGGGAAAATCACCAGTGATGGTAAGTAGCCATGTCTTACTGTGGTGAGAGCTGTCTGCTAGCCAAAATTGGTAGACAGCAATTCACGTCAATATTTACGTCCCAAATCTTGGTCATGAGAAAAAAGACTAACTCAACAACCAATAACAGCAGACTTTGCATGGGCGGATACGAATCGCAGATATATGGTCTGACCTTCAAAGGACACATCACAAAGAGATGACGGATTAACTTTCAGCGAGAAAACAACCAATCAGAAGACTGTTTCTCTGCTAACAATAACGAATAATAATGTACATAAAAATCTGTAAATATCTATCGATTACTTCAATAAACGATCTGTTGCCTGTCCCTTGTCTTCTGTCGTTACAGTACTGCTGTCTTTACTTCAACAGTATCGATGAGTTTTCTGCCGTGAATAGCTTGACATATGACGTCATCATACATCTGTTGGGAATGAGGTTGATAAAGGTTTCGGGTACTGCGTATTGTTGATGGCATATTCAACTGATATACTAGGCTACCAGTATATTGTCTCAAAAAATTACTTTTATTCATTTGATTAAAAGGTATATACATAAGTTGATGGGAATTTGATTGATTCAGTCATAAACAGAAATAGGTTAGATTCAGGTGTTAAGAACCAGTGAGTATTGAATAACTGTGTGGATGGAGCTCTTTACTAGTGTACATCTGCGATGCCTCCAGGAATTTAGTGGATATCCCTCGTTTTCGTAATCTGTTATCAATTTAACAAAGTGCTTGTTCCACAGAGCAAGAGCCATCTTCTCTGATGAATATCTTACTGAAGAGCTTAATATTATTAAACAGTTGCTGAGTGAGAACGCTTATCCAGAAAAATTCGTTTATAAGAATATGAATCGAAAATCAAGGCAGACCAAAGTACCAACGGTTTCGAAAAAGGCCTTATTTTTCAACTTCAGTTCCTTGGGCATGACATCAGTGAGATGTTGATAGAACGCCGAAAGAATGCGACAAAACGAAGAGCATTCAGTGCTCCTGAATTTTTCTGTGTCTTCTAAACCACCCCTATTTTGCATTAAAGATAAACTGCCTAATTTCGCCTTTTCTATGAGCATCGACCAATTCGACTGCTCCTTTTGAGCCACTTAGCTGCTTAGACCGTAGAATTAGGCGCGTTTCTCGTCGGGATTTGCGAATTTATTCTGTGTGGTTAAGTAAGTGACAAACAAAATCCGTTCATAGCTCTATTCTGTCTCATCCTGTGGATACAGAACAAAAAATTGATGTTGACAAGGTGGCTTTCAAAGTCATCTACCGTATACCACCTGAGCTTAATTTTACCTCAAGAGCTCATCTACTACAGATTGCTGAGGTTGTTGGAATCCACATTAAGAAGCCTAATTTATGTATCCAAAAGAAGTTGATTCAGACACTGTCCTCACTTTGTTCATCAAGGTTTTAATGATCTTTAATTTATTGTAGAGATTTCCTTATTTTTATTTGATATTCTATTTGCTATTGCATTTTTATGCTTATAATAATTTATGCATCTGTATGCATCCTGTAACAGTTTGTGATGAAATAAATACATATTAATCGTAAATGAATAATGACGGTTGTGAGTAGGTAACTTTTATGCACACATTTATTATTTCTTTTCTTTCCCTCATTATTTTGTAGGAGACTTTTAAAACGCCTATGCTACCATCGCATTTATTAGATAAACAATTCCAAGACTTGTTTAATCCAATGAATACTAACAACAAGAGTGTCATCCAGCCAATTAAATCGACTATGGATACTTTTAGTCAAAATATCGTTGATAATAATAATAAACCTGGAAATCTGCCTAAAGAAGCTGAGAATCCTTTGGCCACTGGCTCACATGCTACAAAAGTACCATCAAAGCAGGTAACTCAGTTATCCTTTCAGATATTTTGTACCTGGTCACAGAAGTTTAATCTCACTTGAAGTTTCCGTTGTTTGTAAATAATTTAACCGACTTCAAAATTAACATTGGATATCGTGTAGGGAAGAACATTTATAATCGTGTTTGTTCTGTTGGATAACTGTTTCATCTCAGACCCATCTGCAGTGCATTTCGCTACCCCTCGAGCCTTTAACCACTAATGTTTAACATCCGTAAGACTTCAGACGTGAGAGAATTTGCGTGTTAATGCGATGGCTGACTGCGACTACTCATACATTACTCTAACATTATCTTGGTTGAGTTAGCTTTTCTGATGGAGAAAAATAGTGAGTGACTCAGCATGAGTAACACATTCTCGCCATCTCAATCGACGCAAATCGTCATTGTTATCCAGTGACTTTCTCTCTTTATCTAACTAACAGTGAAGGTATAACCACATTTTCACTAATTGCATTACACCATGTAAGAAGATTAATTGAAGGCGAACGTGTGTGATGAGAAATGACTAATATCTTCATATCTTTGACTTTTTAGTAGAGTAGTAGTTGTCGAAGTTGTGTAGGGCAGAAAGGTGATGTTCTTGATAGATGGGTATGATATGTGCTAGTCGGTAAAAGGCAAAAGAGCGATTTATTTGATTGGTGCGATTTAGTCATCTAGCTGTGTATTGTTTGGTTGGTGGTGATGCAACTTCTCGAATAAGTGAGGTGTTCAACGCATCCAACTGTTTCACATGTAATCTTTAAACCGGGAGTCAGTACGGATTAGTCTTGCATCATGCATCACCTGATATTTGACAGCATTCTGACTAAACTATGACTTCTGTTTGAGGTGATCAGAAGACTTGTCATTTTGTCAGTGTCTTTATCTTGAAGTACTTTATCATCTGCGTACTGTAGATGGATGAGATGCTCTCCTGGTAATTATTCAGCTATTAAGAAGCCGAGGTTGACAATTCGTCTTATCGATTATTTTTAGAACTGATTTCCTGAGAACAGTTCTTTCATGTAGCATACTATCATCGATACTTATTGTATGAAGACTGGTGATGCTGCATTCCTGTTGGGCAGCTGTACCACTTATCCCTCAAATGAAAGACATCGTATGGATGACCTACACTAGTGGTGATTGGTCCTAGTTTAGTAGTTATCTAATCGACCTCAGCAGTGTGGTAGGTGACAGCGATTAGCAGTTCTGAGGTCAGAATCGATGAATAAATTCCTTAATCAGTCGGCTGTGAAGAACATTTTCCGTTTGACTTCGTTTAATGAGGTTCTCTAGTCAGCATAGACGACTTTATTTTTGTGGAAACTTGAGTGCTTATTCCTATAATTTATATCTCCTCGGATGTATATATAGATTTATTTCTTGTTCAAATTTAATGCTATAGTGTTTTATTTCGTGCTTCCTAAACACGTTTACTTGATGGTTGTTTTGTTTGTTAAATGTATTTTGGAGACTTTCTTCAGAAACTTCACCGCTCTTTTCTTCGTTTATGATCCCAGGTGAGGGCTTACGGCGAGCTGTCATCTGAACTGATGACGACCAGTGGTGTCCGTCAAGGATGCCCATTATCTCCTTTTCTATTCAACTTCATCATAGATGTGTTAATGGACTTAACCCTAGGTGACTTCAGCGACTCAGGGATTGACTTGCTACCGGGGAATAATCTCGTTGACTTGGAATATGCAGACGATATAGTCCTTCTAGGCGAAGACGCTGACGAAATGCAGAGTCTTCTAAACACCTTGAGCCGCAATCTACGAATGTTTGGCATGCGATTCGCTCCCGCCAAATGCAAGATGATGTTACAGGACTGGACTACATCGACGCCTAGTTTAAAAATAGGAAGTGAAGTGGTAGAGCACGTTGACCGCTTCACTTATTTGGGAAGTACCATCAGCCAGTGCCAACGGGTTGATCTCTGACGAAATCTCAGCACGAATACAGGGGGCTCGTTTCGCATCTGCCAGTTTACGCCGACTCTGGCGTAGACGAGATGTTCGACTATCGACCAAAGGGCGGGTGTACTGCTCATCAGTCCGCTCCGTCCTCCTGTATGGTTGTGAGACCTGGTCACTGAGAGTGGAGGACATGAAAAGACTAGCTGTCTTTGATCATAGGTGCCTGCGTTCTATTTCCCGTGTAAAGTGGCATAATAAGGTGAGCAACATGGAGGTTAGGCGTAGAGTTCTAGGTAAACAGGGGAAATCAATCGACGAAGTCGTGAAGCTACAAAGACTGAGATGGTTAGGACATGTGTTACGTATGCCAAGCCATCACCTCCCTCGACGACCTATGTTAGCGGATATAGGGTCAGGCTGGAAAAAAGCTAGCGGCGGTCAAACAAAAACTTGGCATCAGTCAATGAAATCCACAACAGTTAGTCTAAGCCACGTAGAAAGGTGTAGACTTCCAGGCTGGGGTCCTCGGGACGGTAAAAATCTATGGTTGGAAACAATTGGTGACATGGCTCAAAGTGATCGTTCTCAGTGGCGCAGATGCATCCACTCCCTGTGACTTATGATCTTCAATGAAACTGTTTTGTATTTCTTTATTACTCCTTTGTCTCACACCTCTGCTCACTGTTTCTATTATGCTTTTCTTGTACTTTCTTCTCTTGCTTCGCGTGCTACACGGAATGTGGCGACTTGAACTTCCGCACATTTGTGCAAAGTTCTATGTCGAAAACAGACAGACAGATTGTAATATCGGATGCTGTGTCGATTTGTAGGCGTGCCGGCCGTGTATTAATTGTCAGATTGATATATTTGTGAGGTGCCGGAGTACTAATATGATATGCGGCAGTAACGCTCTAAGACTTCGGCATGTGAAGCCGTCTGGGTCGACTACGAGATCTGGGTCGGTTGTTGCGTTTGCAGTAGCCATCTTTGTGACCAACAGTATGGCATCGATGGTATTTATGCTGTTTGAATGAGCGCAAGTTTACAAAATGCCAGGAGCCACAGTGCCAGTAGGCTGATGGTGGTTTATGTTGAGGATGAATCGGCGCGGTTGATGTCGACGGTACTGGATGCACCGCATGCACTTCTGCTGCATTTTGGCTGCCAGACTGCACCAGGGCGGTATCGTTATGAATGTTGACTAAACGCTGGTATTCTTCACCGACGTCTTTCAAAGTCATTCGTGGACGATTTAATAGGCGTGTGCGTATGTCAGCGAATTTGCGGGACTGAAAACCACAAATGAAAATCAATACCTTGAATTGGTCTTCTGAGAGCGATTTAAATTTAAAACGTTCACACGTGCAATTGACTATACCCAACTGAGTATGGATATCATCATTTTCGTTCAGAACTAGTTTCATGCAAGATCTCTGATCACCAAACTGATGACGAAGGGTATGGACAGTTTCATCAAATGATCTTTCGTTGGGCTTCTGTGGGAGAATTAAGTTGCAATATTTATCTAGCTCATCTGCTCCCAATTTGCGAAGTAGGCATCTTCTTTATCCACAGTATACTTGAAATAGGTCTTCATATCTGGGAAACCAAGTATCAAATATCACGTTGGGATCTGGATCATAAACGTATTCTTAGATGCTACTACCAATGCTGTCGTTGGCTGTAGATTAATCGGCAGGGCGTGATATCTGTAGACCGGGAAGCATTTCTATCATTTTTAGCTGCTGCTTCATTAGTTCCTCTAAATGCAGTGGGTGCATCTTGAGGAATCCCGTCGCCAAATTTGTTGTGTGAATATTATGACCTTGTAGACTACGGGCGAATGTAACTTAATGCGCTGGCTAATCTGTCCTAAACGCACGTGAACAAGGACAACAATAATAATACCGCTGGGCACGCAAGACAAAGAAAGACGCCTGGACGTCGATACGAGAGCTTATACTGTCTCTTCAACAGTCAAAAATGTTAAAGCAAACTTCGTGTTTATACAGTTAGGAAAACCAATGTCTCATTTAAATAAATTTTAACAATCAATGGAAATTCAGTAAATTCAATCATGCAGATGCGAAAGATCAATATTGATGGGTCACCAGTTGTAGCCTAAATGGTGGTTTACGATGTATTTTAGCTTCTTTGATTCTCAAAAGTAATCATAAATTTCAAAATTGAACTCTTCTTGATTTTTTTTTCTTTATCTCATGGCAATATAAACAAAATTAGCCGCCTACAAATTTGGATGCTTGGATGAATTTATTTGCTGATCTTGGTGCGATCGGCAATCCTGATTCAATATCAAAAAAGGATGGTCAGATTACAGATGCCTGATGCACCACACACACAAACACGCACTGGTTATCAGTCTTTTGCTTGATAAGCATTCCTGCAATGTTTTCTGTTTGTCAGTTCAATATGTCTCTTTATATGTTATCACTCTTACTCTATACATGTGATGAGTTCAACCATTCCATTTTCTCTTGCTGTAGTAATGCCTTCGCTTCTAATGTTATCTTTGCCTCTTGTCTTTGTTGTGATATGATAACTGCAAATTTCGGCTAAATTTGTTCTTTTGATCTGCTAACTGTGATAGACATTGCAAATCATTATTACTTAATATTTTGGGACTGTTAAAAAGGAAGCAAGACTAAGGAATAAAAATTCGCACATGTATGTGTGTGTATCAACTGGGAGTTTTTGTTTATTGTCTCTTTTGTTGTCATATGTTATTTTGGTGAAATGAATAAATCATGTCGTGGTAATTACACTATTTTTTTTAACTTTCATTGTTTTTCTCTAAAGTGTGGTTCCGAGTTTGCTGTTTAACCTATAACGTGTTCTACCAGACGATCTACTTTGGTTGCCTTATGTGCCAGAGTTTTCTTTAACGTTAGTGATCTAACGTTGTCCTCAAGTTGTTGTTACTCATATTCATATGGCTCACTTACCAACCTTTTCTCAGTCGTCTTCTTGCTCACTGTTCTTTGCAGAGGTCAGGATCTTGAGTCTCCAGTGCCTGTCGCACATACTCCTGGAAGGGTTGCATTAATACGACTTGTTCCACTATGTTGTCTCTGACTGGCTGTTGCATGTGGCACAGGAAATGTGATGCGAAGGTGTCTCCTATGCTCCCCCCCCCACTGAAGCAACTTTTGTATTTTCTGGTTATCTTACACAGAAAGGCGCTGTATTGCCCTCTCCTTAAGCATACTGTATATGATTGCTGAGGTGCAGCGAGTATAAGTTCTTACAGCTTCTTGCTAGTCTGATAAAGTAACTGAGAACACGTATCTCTGATCTGTTGGTCTTAGAATTAATGCTATCCCGGTGAAGTAGTGCACTGGCTAAGCAAACCATAGTTGCAGATGATGTTGATCACATCCAAGTAATTTAACTTCAGCGGTTACTAAAGAATCTGTCTCCATGGAAGTCGATTTTTTAAGATCAGATCCCATAGTTGGTGGGTGAGGCATCGTAATAAATGAAAATTAACCTAAAAAGTACGTATGAATAGAAAATAATCTAGGGAAACCACCAAAAAAAAGAAATCTATAAACAATAGTTGTAAACTAATAAGACTCACTGGATTTAGTAACAGACTCTTCTACCAAAATAATCATCCAAACTATCAACCCATAGCCCGTAACATTGTGGAAAACTAATGTAGTTTTTAGAGTCTATTTTTGTAACTGAGGCGGTTGGGTAGATGATGTGGGTGGGGAGGGGCGGAACGCAGTTTCTTCATACATCAGTATGTTTAAGTGTAAAATGTATACGTAATTCTCATCTTTTTTCAATCATTTTTTTGTTTATAGCCTTTTGTGTTGTTTTATTTTGGTTTTTGAGAAATGAATAAGTGATGTTGATAAATACATTCTTGTTCTCCGAAATGTAGTCTGATGCACGGTTAGCTTATTCATTAACATTCTAAACAACAATTCAGGACCTTAAAACTGTACACTACTGATTAATTGAGATGGTCAGTTAGTTGTGTACACTACTCAGATCGACGTGTAGTGCTTGATAACCAGCAAGATGGAAGTGGTATCTAGACACTGGACGTCCGTTTCGCTTATTTGGGGTCGACCCACCCCCCAGTCAGCAGTGCAACCAGTTTAACTCACTCTTCGCAGAGCCTAATTGGTTCTGACTAGCGTCTTGAGCGAACTCATGATATGATAAGTCAAATTCTCAATTTGTAAATTAAATTCGTAATTTACACATATCGAACAATCAGTTCAGGGGCAGTCATTCTCTTACGATTGATATCCAAAAAGATCTTAAAGTTGTAATAAAAGTTATTTACTAATCATTTGAAATAAGCAGGTGTAAAGTATTCTCTAAAATCGATACTACTTGTCGATGAACTCATGGATTTCGGTCTTCTTTATCCTTTTTCATAAAAGTCTAAATGAAAACAATCATTTAGTTTAAGCGAATATCTTGTTATTTCATGGGATGCATGGCATAAATCAATGAACATTCGACTGTTATCTTCTGTAGCAGTAGTTATATAAATGTTCATTTGAGGTATTATTTCTTTAAATTGATAAGCGTATTTGAATTTGCGAAGGAAAGTACGCGTTAATGTTTAAGAATTCAGTCGTCTTTCTAAGCTACTTATGAGAAGTATAAATAGTCTGTCTTAAGTTTGTAAAAGTGTTATAACGATAGGGAATTAAATGAGGACGTTGTCGCCTTGTTCTGTCTGCGCCTGACTAATACGCCTATCTGCTGGTGGTACCTTCCGATTCAGTGAACCACGCAAATATCAAAAGACAAAGGCTGAAAAAAGACTGTGTATTGTAGTACAACAACTACGACAAAGAAAGTCATGATATTTATACATTTTTACAACAATATAGACAGCTAACAGCATTTGAAATAATTGATCGTGATAGTCAATAACAAAGTGTGTGGGAATGATGATATACCATTTATGCGAGATTAACAGTCAGTAACAAAGTGTGTGGGATCCTATCACCTCTCCCCGTAAAAAGTGTAGGACTTGCTTTTTGGATCTATTTGAAAAGGTTTCGGAGCTCTTCTTTGTCGAGTTGACCTTCGCGTGGTACTGGATAGAGTGTGATCTGTGTCCCGGGCTTCCGGCTGCGGAAGATTAAATGTATCTACTAATACTTCTAACGTGAGGTCTCGTCTCCCATTGTCGGGTCTATCTGACGCATCTCGTATATGATTCGTGTGTCTGACACATAACTGTCCTTCTACATTCACTTTGTATAAAACCCTTCCTTTCTGCCCCACTATTTGTCCTCGAATCCATCTCGGAGGTGAATAGCGAAAATCTCGTACATAAACTTGCTGATACAATTTGAAAACTCGACGTTTAGCTCCGTGATGGCGATTGAATTGGTTTTCCATTTTTGTATTTCTGCAGCCCTGCTTTACTTGCCTAGGCTTAATTGAGTCGAGGGCAGTTCTGATCTTCCGGCCAAACATAATTTCCGCTGGGGATAACTGATTTGGGGCGGAAGGATTTGGCGTCGTACGATAATGCAGCAAGAATCTATCCAAAATTTCTTCTGTTGTTCCCTCCCCCTTCGCTTTTGCATAAGCACGCTTAAAGGTGTCGACGAAACGTTCAGCCTGTCCATTCGATTGGGGATGATACGGGGGGCTACGAATATGCTGGATGCCAAACAGTTTGCAGAAATCTGAGAACAGTGATGAGGTGAACTGCGATCCATTATCGGACACCAGAACATCAGGCATACCAAAACGACAGAATAGTTGACGTAGGTGGGACACTGTTGCAATTGATGTGGCAGAATGCATAGGAAATATCTCTGGCCATTTGGAAAACGCGTCGACACATATTAAGAAATGCATACTATTGAACGGTCCAGCGAAGTCAACATGAACACGGGACCATGGTTTGTCCGGTCGTGGCCAGGAACATAGTTCTGTCTTGCGTGGGCACTTTGATGCTTGAGCACATTTACTACATTTGCGAACGAGGTCTTCGATATGGTCATCGATGTTGGGCCAGTAAACATAACTGCGAGCGATCGCCTTCATTCTCCCAACACCAGGATGTGATGTATGAAGCTGACGAAGCACATGGTTACGAAGATTAGCTGGAACCACAACACGATCAGCAAACATTATGCATTCATTAACGATGGATAAGGATTGGCGTCGCTGGTAAAACTGTTTTAAAACATTTGAATGAACATGTGGAGGCCAGCCAAATCGGATGAACTTTGATACTTGCTGTAAAACTGGATCACGCAGTGTGTGGCTGGCAACCTCAACTGCAGTCACCGGAAGAAGTTGAGTCGCGCCTACCAGAACTCTGTTTACATCATCTTCAACAGAGATGGATGCAATAACAACATCCTCGCTTTCCAACTTCTGATGGCTTAGCAGCCGTGATAATGCATCTACCTGGCCAAATTCAGAGGTAGGTTTGTATTTGATATCAAAATTATATCCCAGTAACATGACAGCCCACCTTTGAAGCCGATTCGCAGTGTACACTGGAATGCCCTTTTTCGAACCAAATATCGACAACAGGGGTTTATGGTCAGTAAATAGGGTGAATTTCCTACCATGAAGCATTTTGTGAAACTTTTTGACTGCGAAGATAAGCGCCAAACCTTCTTTCTCAATTTGGCTATATTTGCGTTCGGTTGTATTCAGTGTTCTAGATGCATGTGCAATAGCTTTCTCCCTTCCGTCAGGAAAACGATGAGATATAACAGCACCAATACCATAGTCGGATGCATCTGCAGCAAGGATGATTTCAAGACTTGGATCATAATAAGTAAGCAGCATGTCTGACTGGAGTAACGATTTTACTTTTTTAAATGCATTTTGACATTCAGGTGACCAATTCCATTTTGCATTTTTCGATAACAGGCGATTCAGTGGAGCACGTATGCGATGAAGCTCTGGTAGAAATGCACTGTAATAGCTGATGAGGCCAAGGAAAGATCGCAGAGTGGCAACATTAGTGGGAGCGGGCATATTCTGAATAGCACGTACATTTTCTGGGTCTGGTCGACGTCCATGTTGATCGAAAATGAACCCAAGATACTTTACTGAATCCATGAAAAATGTACATTTATCCTCTTTAAGGTAGAACCCAAACTCTGACATTTTGGATAGCACAGCGTCAAGTCGATCAAACAATTCAGACTTACTACTCCCTGTGATTATCACATCGTCGAGGTAGACAGCAACACCAGGTTGGTTAGCAAGCATAGTATCCATGATCTGCTGAAAAATTGCGGGTGCTGGTTTCACACCAAATGGTAAGCGAGTAAACTGGTAGAGACCTCTATGAGTGTTGATTGTTAGCAACTCTCGAGACTTTGGTTCAACTTCTATTTGAAGGTAAGCATCAGCAAGGTCAATTTTTGCAAAACATTTACCACCATTAAGTTTGACGAATAAGTCTTCTTGAATTGGTAATGGATAAGCATGATCCTCTAGAGCATCATTTAACCCAGTTGAGAAATCTGCACACAGGCGAATGGAACCATTTGCTTTGCGTACAACAACTATAGGAGCAGCCCAGGGCGAATACGTTACTGGTTTGATGACACCCAATGCTTCCAGTCTGTCGAGTTCATTCTCAACCAATGTGACAGCAGCATACGGAACTGGACGTTTTGGACGAAAAATTGGCTTCGCGTTTGGCTTTAGAGACAAAACAACTTGGGTAAATTTGCAGCAACCAAGTTTGTCCTGGAAGACAGAAGCGTGCTTTTGACGCAGGCGTTGCAAGAGAGACTGATCAGATACATGTCCGGGAACAACGTTGTGTGGTGAGGACGAAACATTAGAGCATACTGAATTTAATGGTACATTGAAGATATGGAGCTTGTCTAACCAGTCAAGACCAAGCAAATTCAAATCATGGTAGTTTGTAACGTAACATACACCATTGAAGTGATGCTCACCAAACTGAACCTGGCAATTTATCTCACCCACGAGTTTCAGTATATCTCCAGAGGCATTCTTAGCGACATGCTCGGTCGGCAGAATCTGTGGGCACCCAAGTTTGCGCCACGTAGTTCGGGAAATTAAGGTGATATCTGATGCCGTATCCAACTGAAGACGAATATGTTTGCCGTTAATACCTAGTGTAATGTACTTACGTTTGCTGGCGAAATCGACTTTGGAAGTTGTGAAAATGGTCTGTACTCGAGGAGATTGTTTCGGCTTGAAACGACTACTTCTGTTCCTCACCGAAGAATTTTTCTGCGGTGGACAGTAACCCTCCTTATGTCCAAAACGGTGACAATTACGGCATTTATGTTTCTTGAAAGGACAGAACTTGACAAAATGCCACGAACCACAGTGCCAGCACACTGAAGGAGGTTTAGCTGAATTCTGAGACTGACGTGCTGTGTGCTTAACGGTGATCGGAGGACTTTTCACTGTGTTAATTGAACCAAATTCAGACGACTGTCGTTTGCACTCCACCATAGCAGTATCGTGCTTCAAGTTGATTAAACGTAGGCATTCTGCTGTCACCATTTGTAAAGTCATTTTCGGGTCTTGTTCCACGAGTGACAGAAGTCGAGTTCTTATGTCAGTATCTTCTGGGTTCTTCAACCCACAAATAAAAATCAAACACTTGAACTGATCTGATGTCATTTCGTGTGGTTTGAACCTTTCACATTCCTTGTTCACTTTGCCAGCGTAAGTGACATAATCATCGGAAGGCATTTTTGTCAACTGAAAACATTGATACCGAATATTAAACATGGATGACTGTTCACCAAAGATTTGTGATAAAACGGTGACTGTCTCATCGAATGATAACTCACGTGGGTTCTTAGGCAGAATGAAGTTAACATATCTGTTGTGCTCAACAGTACCAAGTTTTCTTAGTAACAATCGGACTTTGGCAGCATCATCAAACATGTAGCATTCAATACGGAAAACGTCTTCGTAACGATTGAACCATGCATCAAATACGAGACCAGATATTGGGTCGTAGTTGAACTCACTGATGGAATTTGAGATGCTTTCATATTTGTCTGAATGAGATGTTGATGGAACTTGAATGGACAGCTTCTGAGTGAGAGCTTCGATTAATTTTAGTTGAGCTGCTTCATTCTGAACTTGCTGCTGCTGCAAGATAGATTTGAGATCGTCCAGAGAGATAGACATTGTAATTGGGTTGTAATTAACACAGTCAAAAATGTTTTATAGCTGCGCTGAACAGAATAAAACCCGTCGTCGCTTGCTTGTTATAACTGCAATGAATTAAGGTAAAACCCCGTCGCCAATTTGTTATAACGGTAGGGAATTAAATGAGGACGTTGTCGCCTTGTTCTGTCTGCGCCTGACTAATATGCCTATCTGCTTGTGGTACCTTCCGATTCAGTGAACCACGCAAATATCAAAAGACAAAGGCTGTAAAAAGACTGTGTATTGTAGTACAACAACTACGACAAAGAAAGTCATGGTATTTATACATTTTACAACAATATAGACAGCTAACAGCATTTGAAATAATTGATCGTAATAGTCAATAACAAAGTGCGTGAGAAATGATGATATACCATCTATGCGAGATTAACAGTCAATAAGAAAGTGCGTGGGATCCTATCAAAAAGGTAGAATGTCAGGCTTAGTTATGTTAACTCCAAACCTTAGGTAATCAACCCTATCACTATTACTGAAACTTCAGAGCACAGTAAAAGTGAACTAAAAGAGGATATTTGAAGGTATTCAGTAGTCGATTACTCAATATTATTTTTCAAATATTGGTTTTGGAGAGATTTAACTGATTTCAATTTTAGTCACGGATTTGCAGAAGTTCTAGTCCGAAGTCGTGATCAATGGGCTCCACAAAATTGTTGGGCGTGAGAACAGATACTCTCCTATAAAAATGGGTAGTGGTTGCCGTATATCACAAATTGATATAGTTAAAATTGATAGGTAACTGGACCCTATCCTAGTGTTTGAACGGTATACGAGTTCTCCCTGTAACCTGCAGGTCCTGGGTTGAACCCGTGCTGGGTGCAGTCATGAATGTGTAGTGCTGAAGAGTCCCAAAAAGCTGTCAAGTACTTCCTGGATTTCAATGGTCCTCTAACTGAAGTTAGTTCGTTATTATTTTATTTGATTGGTGACTGGATCTAGAATCCGTTTATATGACTTTATGTTGCTTCACATTTTTCCGGTGGATACTTTAAATAAAAGAACATGATTTGGTCAATTAGAAGAAGTCGTCTGCAAAAATATCAATTAATCTTTGTGTATCATTGACTAATCAGTATAGGAAGTAACAGGAAACTACCTGATTTTGAAGTTATGCTTTCCTCTGGAGAAGCACACATAAAAGTGGATGAAGAAATCATTTGAAATGATTACAAGGTGTCCAGAATAACATTACAAGATTTTCCATGTTTCTTGTAATGTTGATGGCATTGTATTACCTGTCACGCTATCAGTTTCTCTTCAAATCTTTGTTGGTCACTTCCTATCTCCTTGATTTCTTAGAAAATCTTTCGTTTGACTTATTACATAAGAAAGTTGAAACTTTCTGATGTAACTCAACCGGTTCTCTTACAGTTCATGTATTCTAAACATTCCTCTTTATTGTTATTCCTCAGGCCTCTCAAAACAGACTATACATAGTCAAAAGTGGGGTCCACCATGTTAAGGTAAAGTGGATGCCCACCGAAGACGTTGGTAAATACAGTGCTGTATCACGAGGTGACGAAGTTAGGATTCAGAGGTCATTGGATTCCAGGCCAAGATTCTCAATAGTCACAAGATTGGTCACGTAAACTGAAGGTTCAGGGTTTGATCTGTGGTTAAGTCGTAGGTACAGACTGATGAAGACTTCTAAAATAGGACGAAATGGTTGTTCAGTGCTCCCTAGTTTTTAGTGATCTCTTTAACTGATGTTGGTTCGTGGTAAAAATCTAACACTTGTGACTATCTTATATTTCGCAGGACTTTGATGGCTGTAGGCAGAATCAGTGACGTGTGGAGCTTTCACTCAAGTATCTGTATTGTCTGATAGTCATTTTAATTTTCGCTAGCAATAGGCTAAAGTCATCTCGTTTCATACTGAACTTACGTTTTATTTGCAACTGCCTTCTCGCATCTCTTCGAGTAAAACCGGAAGAAGTTTCACAAGAATTCATGCTTATTAGACTAATCATAAGAATTCAACCACACCATATTCAGCCTATGGGGTTTGTGTAAAAAAGTGATAAATATGCTACTGAGATACACCAAACAAAAACAGGCTGCGTGTGACCGGCCTCAAGCAGTTGTCCTTTGGGCTTTGCGGTCACGCAACCAACTTCCACGGTGTGGACAGCCGGGAAGTAACAATCACCCACACACTTTCAAAAGCACACGAAGCCTTCCTGAGCATCATTCCCCTTCACTCACATCACGTTTCCCATCTTGCTTCTCTTCTACAGCTAGAACTATTCCGCAGGCTAATGAGTCATCTTCACTCTGTGACCACGAACAACGGTGAGAGCCATAGAAACACCCCAGACAGCCTTTTAAAGCCACGTCACCGACTTTATATAGGAGCATTTAACGTCAGCACCCTCTGCCAAATCGGACAACAAGCATCACTAGCAAGAACTCTGGCAACTCCAGCCATGGATGTATGTTGTGTTTCGGAGACACGCATACAAGACCCGAGTGTGGTTATTCATTTAACCTCACCCTGTGAACAAGGTGAATCTGCGAAACTCATTTTAAGGGTGTCAGAAGACCCTTCAGCTAGCTCGCGAGGACTTTCAGATGTAGGAATAGCACTAAGTGTTAGGGCGGAAAAATCACTCCTTGGCTAGATCCCAGTAGATAGTCGTATACGCGTGGTCTGTTGAAAGAAGGAAAGACGGTGCTACCCGTCGTTGCCTTTCCGTAGTCTCCGCTTACGCCCCAACAGACTACAGTTCCGATGAAATCCTTGACAGTTAAACTGAGTAAGGTAAGGAGATGCAGACTTCCGGGTTGGGGCCCTCGCCTCGGGACTCTAGGAATCAATGGCTGGAGACAATAGGTGAAATGGCTCAAAATCGTTGTCAATGGCCAGTGCAGATGTATTCAGTCTCTGTAATCTTTCATATTCCTTTCTACCATTACCCATTCTGTTTCACTCTTATACTTGTCAGACTGTATTGATTCTCTTCACCCATCTTCTTGTCTACCTCTGTGTGCTATTTGGAACGTGGCAACTCGAACTGGTGCACTTCGGTGCCAAGTTCTATGTTGAATCCAGACAGACAGAGAGAGTTCCGATGAACTAAAAGATGACTTCTACCTGAAACTGTCTAATTTGCTGCAAAAAGGCAAAACGTTCAGATATAGTTGTCTTAGCAGGCGACTTCAATGCACAAGTAGGGAAGTTGTGCCAGACTGAGAAGTATGTAGGTGGTATGTATTGAGTTCCCTGCCGACGAACCGACAACGGTGATCGTCTTTTACAGTTTTACTCAGATAATCATCTGTTCCTAGTCAGCACTAACTTTCGGCACAAAAAGAGACATTGTGTAACCTGGTGACCTCCATCACCAAATCAACGCTGGATTCAGATAGACCACATAGCCATAGGATATCGTTGGCGAGGGTCAGTAGAAGACTGTCGCTCCTTCTGGAATACATGCGTAGACTCTGATCACGCTCTGGTTCGATCACGTTTATGCTTACGACTAAACGGACATAAAAAATTGACGGCAGCGAAACAGTTACGTCCCCAACTAGGTCGAAACACTGAGTCTTTATTTAAGGAAGAAAAAGCGAAACGGGTTTCTGAGGCTGTCGACAGCACCACTTCTCCTGAGGTAGCTTGGCACAACATACAGTTAGCTGTAGACACAGCTGTGAAAGCTAAAACCTAAAGTTAGTAAAAGCCATTGGATCTCCACCGCCTCATCCGAACTGATTGACCCAAGAAGACTGATTCCAGCGAGCTCCAATTATGATGAGGAGCGAAAGATACTCAAACGAAAACTTACAAAAAGTCTTCGCAAAGACCGTGAACAGTGGTGGGTGACAAAAGCCAAAGAGATGGAGAAAGCTTCGAGGATAGGCAACACCAGGCAACTCTTTAAACTCATCAGGGAAACGGGTGCGAGAAGACAAATCATCAGTGAAACAATCTCAGAGAAAATTGGCACCATAAATAGCTCCCGGGATAGACGACTGGAACGCTAGAAAGAGCGCTATGAGGAGCAGTTTAATTGGACCACAGCCACACTCAACCTGCCGAACATCCAACACCTCCCTGAATAGGATATACACAGGTCCTGCTTCATTAACTGAGGTTAATAAACCTGTCACTAATCTGAAACAAGCCAAAGCAGCGGGACCTGATGGAATGACTCCAGAGGTATCTAAGTACGGTGGAGACAGTTTACTGTCTGGATTAACTGAGGTTCTAGGCAGCGTCTGGAAATCAGAGGAAGTCCCATCGGGTTGGTGTAAGTCACTGATTATCCCGATATACAAGAAGGGAGAAAAGTCTTCCTGTGATAATCACAGAGGGATTAGCTTGAGTAAAACAGTATCTAAAGTCCTAAGCTCAATAATCATGCGTAGACTGAGTGGTGCTCAGGAGGCACAAACAAGAGAAAACCACATTGCCTTCAGAGCAAGAAGAGTGTATATTGATCATATCTTCACCCTTCGACAGATTCTGGAACATAGGGATTCCTACCGGCTCCCAACAATCGTCATATTTCTTGACCTAAAGCCGACATTCGATTCCGTCAACTGAGAGGTACTCTGGAGATGCTTGGCTGTAAAGGGAATCCCAAGAAAACACATCGCATTGATCAAGGCACTCTACTCGAAATCATGCAGCCAGGTGAGGCCTTATGGTGAGTCGTCATCTGAAGTGGTGACAACTAGTGGTGTCTGTCAGGGAGGGATGCCCATTATCCCCATTTCTATTCAATTTCATCATAGATGTACTAATGGACTTAACCCTAACTGACTTCAGAGACACAGGGATTGACTTGTTACCAACAGGGAATAATCTCGTTGACTTAGAATATGCAGATGATGTAGTCTTGCTCCTAGGTGAAGACGCTGACAAAACCCAGCAGTCTTCTGAACACCTTGAGCTGCAATCTACGAATGTTTGGCATGCGAATCACTCCCGCCAAATGTGAAATGATGTTACAGGACTGGACTACACACATTGACCACTTCACTTATTTAAGAAGCTGCATCAGCCTCAACGGGTTGATCTCTGACGAAATCACAGTACGGATACAGAAGGCTCGTTTCGCATATGCCAGTTTACGCCGTCTCTGGCGCAGAAGTGATATCTGGCTCGCTATCGACCAAAGGCTGTGTGTACCGCTTAGCAGTTCTCTCCGTCCTCCTTTATGAATATGAGCAAACCATGGACACTGAGAGTGGAACATATGAAAAGGCTAGCTGTCTTTGATCATAGATGTCTGCCTACTATCTCCCGCGTTTGTTGAGTGACATAATAGGGTGAGCAATATTGAGGTTAGGCGTCGAGTTCTGGATAGGGAGGGAAAATCAATCGATGAGGTTGTGACGTTACATAGACTGAGATGGTTAGGACATGTGTTACGTATGCCTAGTCATCGCCTTCCTCGACGAGCAATGTCAGCTGATACAGGGTCAGCCTGGAAAGGAGCTGGCGAAGGTCAAACCAAAACATGGGACCAGTCAATGAAATCTACAACATTTAATCTAGGCCACGTAGGAGGTTGCAGACTTCCTGGTTGGGGACCTCGTGACGGCAAAAACCAATGACTTGAAACAATTGGTGGCATGGCTGAAAATCCTTCTCAATGGCGCCGATGCATCCACTCCTTGTGACTTTTGATTTCCAATGAAACTCTATTGTTCTTCGATATTACTATTCCTTCGTCTCACACCTCTATTCACTGTCTCTATTATGCATTTGTTTTGCTTTCTTCTCTTGCTTTGTGTGCTACAAGGAGGGAATGTGGTGACTTGAAGTGCCGCACATTTGTGCAAAGTTCTATGTCGAAAACAGGCAGACAGTAAAGATAAGTGCCAGAGAAGCGAATTACTACGATAAAAAAGAAAATACCAACCTGTTATCGTCATATTTGTTACTTCTTTCCCTTACCGACTAACTGATCTGTTACGAGGGTTCGCCTTCCATGTCCAACTCGATACCCCCTAATAAGCAGTATAACATTGTATGTTTTTTTTATATTCTAGTCCATTTACCATCCTAATATTCACCCATTCTCCATTTTGACCGCGAATTATGTTGATAAAGGTCTACTCTTAGACGTTGATTATCCTAGATACCTCATCATTTGAAGTTTGTATTCAATCACTACTGTTACTGATTATTTATTGCGGTATCTTACACAGATAAATTCAGTGTTCCAGATTTACAGGTAACTTGTTCGTTTCGTCTGTATAATTTTTAGCGTGATGCTATGTACTACTGATTAATTGATATGAGTAACTGGACACCTCTCACGTCAACCACTAGCAGTGGTTGCTGACTGAATCGTAGTAATCTGAACACCGTTGATAAGATCGTCTCCAAACGGGTGAAATGGCAGTAATGGGTTTTTAACCTGGTTAGTACTCACTTTTCCCTTTTTTGTTGAACCCGTTATATGCGAATAAATCTCACCAGTGAAATTTACCAGATCCATATAATGTCATCAATTTTCAACTGTTATATTTGTTTTACAAATATCCAAGCGGAATTTCTACTAATGTTAAAATATGTTCAAAACAGGGAAATTGTATTTTCTTGTTATATGAAATATTCTAATAAAGTTACGTGTTGTCTATCGGCAGCTGAAACGTTGTCTCTAACCACTTCTTCATATGATGATATTGTTTCATTCGCGCTGCTGCATATCTAAAATAAAAACGTTAAGGTTAAATAATTGTCATATAAAAGAAACGGCCTTCAGTCAAGAGTTTCTATTTTCGACGGTATCATTCTCAAACTGTAAATCACATATACATATATATATATATGTATATATATAGCAAATTTTCTTAGAAACAAATGGATTATTTCCAAAGATGTCTCATTAGAATTACACATTTTAGACAACAATTTACGTGATGTAGAATGTGGTAATCGAGCAGAAACTAAAACGAAATCAAATAATAAATTTGAGTGACGTAATATAATTGACGGGGTTGAGTACAGTTCAACTAGAATCGGACAACAGTCAAGTTAATACCAGTGGTAATAAGGTGGTAGGGCAAAGAAAATAATGCGAATAAGAAACAAAACAACAGAAATTATGTATTTGGCGTTAAGATAGATCAGGTCCATTGAAGGTTAAATGACTGGACAAACATCTTTTGTATGCAGCAGAGTTTAGAATTTAAAATGTGAATCACCATCGCTTCTGCGGTTTGAAGAATTTTGATTCGTACTCTTCTAGCAATATTCCCGCGTATTCTGTAGATGACTTCGAATTTGTTTTGTGGATTTGCTTGGTGTCCTGGTTCGACGAGAATAGAGCTGCGGGAGACCCATTTTTTCCTGTATAAAACCATGAGGGTAAGTGTTCGATGATACGTTTGGATAACAAGCGCTGGGTACGGCCGACATACCTAGCTCCACAGATGAATTGGTAAATGCATCCTGATGGGGACAACAGTGGTAACTTATCCTTCCCGTTCATGAGAATTATTGCTTCCTCAGAGAAAGTTAGTCGAAGTTCAGCCTCCAAGGTTTTCTTCAATGAGCGCGACAGGCGGTTTCTCAGTATTTCTGCTGATGAGTCTCCATTTAATTGTAGATTCAAGTACAGGAGTTTTTTAAAACTGCAGAAGCGATGGTGATTCACATTTTAAATTCTAAACTCTGCTGCATACAAAAGATGTTTGTCCAGTCATTTAACCTTCAATGGACCTGATCTATCTTAACGCCAAATACATAATTTCTGTTGTTTTGTTTCTTATTTGCATTATTTTCTTTGCCCTACCACCTTATTACCACTGGTATTAACTTGACTGTTGTCCGATTCTAGTTGAACTGTACTCAACCCCGTCAATTATATTATTATTATTATTGTATCCTTTAGTTCCTAGAGGAACATAGGGCTTCAGCTGCGCACCTCCATTGACTTCGGTTTTCTGACAACTTTTTCAACCTGCTCCAGGTCTGTCCACATGCTTTCATCTCCTCCTCGCATGACCTCCTCCAAGTCACCCTTAGACGACCAACTCGCCGCCTCCCTTTCGGGTTCCACTCGAGCGATGGCTTGTCTAGTGATGTCACTTGATGGTTTCCTCAGAGTATGGCCAATCCATCTCCATTTCTTTCTGCCTATTTGTTTCACAATCGGTTCCTGATTGGTTCGCTCCCAGAGATCCCTGTTGCTGATCTTTTCTGGCCGGCCATCTGATCTTGAGTATTGAGCGGAGACAGTTGTTAATGAAGGTTTGAAGTTTGTTTGAGATGCTCTTTATGACTCGCCAAGTCTCTGATCCGTATAGTAGCACTGACTTCACATTGGAGTTGAAAATCCGGATCTTATTTTTGATGCTGATTGCTGTTGACCTCCACACAGATTTGAGAGTAATGAAAGCTTGTCTTGCTTTTCCGATTCTTGCTTTGATATCTCCGTGAGTTCCGCCTGTAGTTGAAACGATGCTTCCCGGTAGGTGAAGGAGGTTGTTTCTTTCAGGTTCTTCCCATTTATGCTTATTGTGGTCTGTTGGTGTTGTTGATGTTGGCTAGGAATCTTCATTATCTCTGTTTTATCTATGTTCACGTGAAGTCCTATCTTTGATGCTTCTCCTGCCAACTTGTTACTTTTCACTTGCATATCTTCCAGTTTATGGGAAATCAGACATATATCATCGGCGAAATCCAGATCCTCCAAGTCTTTTGTGTCAGTCCATTTTATGCCTGTTCCCTCGTTGGTTGCCGTTGTCTGTCGCATTATCCAATCAATTGCAATCAGGAAGATCATTGGTGATAGTAGACAGCCTTGCCTCACTCCCGTCCTCACTTCGAAGGCTTCCGTAAGTTTCCCGTTGTGGATTACTTGGCATGCAGCATTGTCGTATAACTGTTGGATGAGGTGTATAATTGTCGATGGGACCCCGTAGTAGCGAAGTAGTTTCCAAATGACCTCTCGATCGACGCTGTCGAAGGCCTTTTCAAAGTCGATGAAGTTGAGATAGAGAGGTGACTGCCATTCCAAGCTTTGTTCAATGATGATCCGTAGAGTGGCGATTTGATCAATACATGATTTGTTTCTCCTGAATCCAGCCTGTTCCGGACGAAGTTTTTCATCTAGGGCGCCACGTCACTCAAATTTATTATTTGATTTCGTTTTAGTTTCTGCTCGATTACCACATTCTACATCACGTAAATTGTTGTCTAAAATGTGTAATTCTAATGAGACATCTTTGGAAATAATCCATTTGTTTCTAAGAAAATTTGCTATATATATACATATATATATATATGTATATGTGATTTACAGTTTGAGAATGATACCGTCGAAAATAGAAACTCTTAACTGAACGTCGTTTCTTCTAAATATATATGATTAAATAAAATGCTCCTTTATATATCGTCCGCATAACAGTACTATCAGAATACGGTTATTTGCGTAATTAAGATAACAGCAAAATGATTAATGGGACTCTATTACATGTAAACTTGTATCCCTCTCCTACTATTACGCCTGATGTGAAGTGTATATATTTCATGTTGAGTAACATGCTCTTATCGTGTCACAAAGCAATGGCTAGGCATACGTAACACATGTCCTAACCATCTCAGTCTATGTAACGTCACAACCTCATCGATTGATTTTCCCTCCCTATCCAGAACTCGACGCCTAACCTCAATATTGCTCACCCTATTATGTCACTCAACAAACGCGGGAGATAGTAGGCAGACATCTATGATCAAAGACAGCTAGCCTTTTCATATGTTCCACTCTCAGTGTCCATGGTTTGCTCATATTCATAAAGGAGGACGGAGAGAACTGCTAAGCGGTACACACAGCCTTTGGTCGATAGCGAGCCAGATATCACTTCTGCGCCAGAGACGGCGTAAACTGGCATATGCGAAACGAGCCTTCTGTATCCGTACTGTGATTTCGTCAGAGATCAACCCGTTGAGGCTGATGCAGCTTCTTAAATAAGTGAAGTGGTCAATGTGTGTAGTCCAGTCCTGTAACATCATTTCACATTTGGCGGGAGTGATTCGCATGCCAAACATTCGTAGATTGCAGCTCAAGGTGTTCAGAAGACTGCTGGGTTTTGTCAGCGTCTTCACCTAGGAGCAAGACTACATCATCTGCATATTCTAAGTCAACGAGATTATTCCCTGTTGGTAACAAGTCAATCCCTGTGTCTCTGAAGTCAGTTAGGGTTAAGTCCATTAGTACATCTATGATGAAATTGAATAGAAATGGGGATAATGGGCATCCCTCCCTGACAGACACCACTAGTTGTCACCACTTCAGATGACGACTCACCATAAGGCCTCACCTGGCTGCATGATTTCGAGTAGAGTGCCTTGATCAATGCGATGTGTTTTCTTGGGATTCCCTTTACAGCCAAGCATCTCCAGAGTACCTCTCAGTTGACGGAATCGAATGTCGGCTTTAGGTCAAGAAATATGACGATTGTTGGGAGCCGGTAGGAATCCCTATGTTCCAGAATCTGTCGAAGGGTGAAGATATGATCAATATACACTCTTCTTGCTCTGAAGCCAATATGGTTCTCTCGTCTTTGGAGTTTTGGAACTTGATCTACCGTACTTCTGTATTAAGTTTTCTGTTGAAACTCAGTTAGTCAGTCATTAGGAGAGTAGTACATGAGGTCCCACTATCATGACCTGATCTTATTTATTCGTGTTTAATTTTTAGGATTCTAGAGATTATCGTTTACAAAATAATGCAGTAGAATCTCAATAAGCACATTACTATAGTATTTATAATAGTATCCAGATATTACGAACAAATTGAATAATTTTCATCATCCTAATTATTCTTTTCAGTAGGTCTTTCAAGTCTGAACTACTCACGCTAAATAGTCCATTGAGGTTAAGTTCTCTGCTGCACAAATCACTGCCCAGATAGCCCAAAGTAAATTAGAAAGCTAAAAATGAAGCAGAAACGAAACAGGCATGAATTTCTTAGTCATTAGATGATAGGTTAATATATTTCTTGTTGCGAGTTGATGACGGATTGATATCAGTTAGAGAACCATTGAAAACCAGGGAGTACTGGGCAGCTGCTGTTTCCCCCTAGCTTGGATTCATCGGCAGTACGCATTCACTGGGATTCGAACGCGGGACGTTCCTGTTATAAGGCGAGCTCGTATTCCATTCAGCCACTGGGAGCAACTGATTTCAATCCGTGATCAACTCGTAAAAACTAATTAACCCCTACAAACCAAACTATAGAAAAATAATATTTTTCTGGGTTGTTCTCACATCATTCGACCTGATACGGCCGAAGGTGGTTAGACATATGTATTCCTCTTGAAATGCTCTTATGTGTCCTCCACATAGCCTGTGTCGCCAGGTGAGTCCTATTCACTTCATTCACGCGGTGGGGATTTTACTAACAAAATTGAAAGTGTGAGTGAGAACGTAATACACCTATATCTAGACTAGTGAATACAGTGGTCTACCAAGGGGAGCTGGAAAACCCTGATTCCGAATCCATTGTGTATATGCCCTCCAGAATCCGAAAGGACCGAGTGGCGTATGAACCTGCTTTGGTAATCTGGAACCATAGGAACTTTGCTCCACCGATTTGTGGATCAAAGGTTCACTAGGAAGGTTGTCCTCTTAAGGCAATCATCTACTTCTGTCTGAGCATCCGTGTAGTATCACAGCCCCAACACACAGAATACGAGATATTTTTGTAATTCATGTTGCTGCCTATGATGTACCAAGCTTGTGTTTTAACAATAGTAATATTATCAGTATCATTATGAGGAAGTTTTTAATCTATGGTAGATATGCTTCAAAGTAATTTGAACAATAAACTTCAATAGATTTCACTTTTGTAAGAGTGGAAAAAGTGAAAATGTCACTTAATTGATAGAAATGAGAAATGAATAATATCCAGTAATACTGTGGTGAAAGCTGTCTGCAAGCCAAAATTGTAGACAGCAATTTACGTTAATGTTTACATCCCTAATCGGGGTCATGAGAAAAAACAATAAAAAGCCTAACCTTGAGTAACTCAACAACCGATCACAGCAGATCTGAAAGGGTAATTTGATTTATTTCACTCTCTCTACTGGTCTAACACCTCAGGATAAAGTTCGGCATTTCATCAATTACCATTTCTGTGAAGCTGAATTGGTTTAGGCGGTTCAGTGGCAGAATACTCGTCAACCACACCTCATGTGGTCGAGGGTTTGATTCCCGGCCGACGCACTCCTAAATCTCGCTTAGGCAGTAATAAGCCCGGTACTGTAGGAACGTTGGGTGGAGGTCCAGCAACACCACCGCTTCAGAGCTCAAGCTAGAAGTTGTATGTTCCACCCGAAACTCAAAAGAATGAAAAACAAAACGATGTTGTTTTTTTTCATTCATTGGGAAATATAAAAACCTTTATTATAATGAATATCATATACCCAATGCCCGAATTTTTTTCAAACTTAAAAGTGAACTTAATTTGGACATATATAAGTACTTATATGAAGTTGACATTAATGTTAAATGTACATCGGAAAAAGCAGCATATAACAGACATTTTCGTCTAGTTCAGGACCTTTCAGTGATGTTTGCATATAACTTCATACCAAAATATGTCCAAGACTGTCTAAACTCTCAGTCGTATATAGAATTGAACAGTTCATCTGTATAAATTCTAGCTTTCACAATGGACTATGTAAAATGCCATTCGATACACAAAATATTTATTGTCAGTCTATTTCTTCATGTATCAAAACAAGGAAACTAGAATAAATAACTTGGTAATATATCTTACCAAAGCAAAACAATTTACTTCTTTAAGCCATATTTCTAAGCAATCTTCAGTATACACACTCAATTCATCATCATTGTCATTATGTTTTAGATTTGAGTTAGATCTAAAATATTCACGATAAGCTGATAAATACACTTTCATCCATCTTTTCTGAAACTCAAGGGATGGATATTTATCAAATTCCAAAGCATATGGTCCTAAGAACACAACCGTTATGCAATAAGCGAAAAAAAATAAGGAAAACAAAACTATCAAGATATAAAAAGTAGGAACAAGAATCATACAGTTAATTAGATAAAATGTCATCATAGTTTCTTCAGAAAGCGTAAACCAAAATATATTACCTGTCTGATATTATCATAACCTATCAAAATTGTAAACATAAGAGTTACCAAGCATGTTCGACTAAAGTATATATAAATATGAGTAGTTGTATGCCATTCATGCCAGCCAATCACCGGCTGACTAGTTGAGTAGGTGTTACTTAAACAATGGGTTGTACTTTGGTGGATGGTGACTAACAGTGGAAGCCATGATTCAGATTTCGTCTTATTTACTACTCATAAGATGGATGTACTTGCAATCCCCACTAAATGATATGGTTTCCACTGAAATTCAAACTCAGTGCCCTTCGTTTCAAAGCTCTTGTCACCCAATCATTATAGTGGATAACACACTGGTGTTTACAACAAAGTATACTGGGTTCTAGTCTCAGTAGGAACACTAGCGATCTCTGGAGAATGCAGATACATCTGGGCGACGAGTCCCATAAAGGTCTAAATGAACGTCCCGGATTCCAAAAGCTAGTCACCATTCGTACAAACAACAACATGCTAATCCTTATACATCATTGAAGCATTCGTTCTGGGAGTCTACATGTCAACAGTAGACAAATATTTCGGTCCAATCAATCAACGGGAAAACCGAAAATGATTTAAATAACCAGTTTTACTTGCAATTAGTAGTAGTAGTGCAACAAAACGATATTGCTTTTCATTCATTAGGAAATACAAAAACCTTTATTATGATCTATATGCATTGATATGAAAGAATATATATCAATGCATATAGATAATTATAGGCATCAGTTTGATTTGGGTTAATGTCGAAATTTTAGACAGAGGAAACACCAAAAGTGCCAAGAAATTCTAAGAAGCCTGGTACTCAAACGAATATGCGATCAACAAACATGTTAATATAGACCAAATATACCAATTAATAAAAAATAAATCATGTGATGAGAAAGTTTAGAATCCGAGTCAATAAAAGAACGATAAATACATATGTAAAGTTGGTTATCGGGAGACGCAATTCTATCACTCAAGGAAAACTTAAATCAGTTCACTTTATGCTAAAAATTGCTCTGAAGATTTTGTCCAGACGGACGGCGAAAGCTCCGCAACTAAACCAACCAGCTCAAAGGATACAACTAATTGCAAATCATCCACCTGAGCTACGAATCTTCTCTATTCTTTCAAAATTGGTTGTACTATTGAGAAGTTTAGAAGGGATGTTGAATGGTCACTTGAATAATGCAGTTCATGAAGTCATATCTCTCAGGATACTCCATAACAGACTGATTGAGAAGTTTAATTGTATAAAACAAAATCAAATTAACCTGGGCGAAATTACTGAGCATTGTCAGCTGGTGTAATTAGTTTACAGTTACCAGTGTTAATGGATAGTACATTTCGTTAGGCATTTTTAGTCTTTTTAAAGTGTTTACGCTATCAGATAGATGCATATTACAGTTGAATGCTTTAAGTATTCATAAAATTCTATGACGTGTTTTACTTCCACTGTTTACTCAAGTTATTACGATTCTGTCGTCATGTGAAAACAACGTTTGACGTGGTAGAATCTGACTGGTCTTTTATCCGACTATTACATAGATAGTCAATATCCCTATCGATATACTATTGAGGTAGACTGCATTTGTACACAATAGCTTGTTAATACTCATCAGTAGGGTTCACTTGTGATCTTGAACAAATCTATCTTCCTTATGATATGCCTATTTTGAGTTACTTAAGTCACTTTCACTAAATTATACAGTTTACTCTACAGCTTAAATGTTTATACTTTATTGTATGCCTGTCTGTAACAGAACTGCTCTATCACCAACATTCACACACGAATAGATTCTGTCATAGTTCTTCGGATATATGCTTCTACTAATAATTCCTCCAGAAGCGCTGAAAATGGATTCAGAGACCTCAGCAGATATCCTCACCCCACAATTACAAAGAGTTTTGAGAAAAGAAAAGGTAAGTACTGACTAGAAGAAAGGGAAACTTAAGCCTTTTTCAAGTACTGGCACTGTGTCATGCTCCTTTCCACGTCAAGCAAAATATTAGGCTTTACTATCCTGGAGAGACTAAAAGATTCTCTTGATACAAATCTCCGTCCCGAATAAGCTCGATTCAAGAAAAGCAAACTGTGTGAAAACCAATATCATGGCACTCAACCCCTTACTTGTACTTCATCCATTTTGGAAAGACCTTCAACAGCGTTGACTCTGAATTAATTTAGAAACTGCCTCAACACTTTGGAGTACCTTCATCGACCTAATTTAACAGCTATGTCTGGTCAGGCCACGTGCCAAGTTATTCACAATGGACGGCTCATATCACTGGATTCTGCTGAATTCAACTACTATTTGAAACAAATTAAATATCATAATTGAACTTTAGAACTTCTACACTCTACACACAATTGAAATCGGAAGTTCTGAATTATATTTTTGAACAAAAATTAATATTAAATTATCGTTATTATGGTGACCTACCTGTAAATTCACAGAAATGATTACCAATATCAAATGCTGCATAATTTAAATCACAATACTCCATATCTATTAGATGAATTGAATCTGTCATAAAAACAAGTAATAAATAAGAAATACACTAATCAGTAGGGAACAAGGCATAGGGAATACAAAAAATGGTATTATTCTGTAATCTGAAATTTAACTTGGTAAAGAAAATGAAAGAATCAGATTGAATTATTCACTTACAAGTTGAAGGAAGATGGTTAATCAACCAGAAACACATCTGACAACTTTTGGTTAACGGGAATTTGATTAGTTTCACGATTTCATCATGAACTAACATCTGGTTAAAGAGCTATTGAGAAACTAGCTGGGATATTTGGACGGTCATCTATTTCTTCCTGGTTTGAGACTATTCATCAGTACGCATCAACTGAGGTCCGAACCCAGGACCTTCTGATTACAAGGCCAGCTCGTAGAGTATTAGGCCACTGGGACCCCGTCCGATGGTCGATGAATTCCAACTTCTGCCAATTCATGATATGGCGCGACCACTGGAGAATGCCATCAGTGGCGAGTATTTGTCCTTACACCCGACCTGCTGTACCCCACTGGTCACAACTTCTCACTAGAAACCACCTAGTTAACTACGTAAATTAATAGTGCCAGTCACTACTGAGCATCAGATTGATATTCAAGTGTTGGTTTGTAGGGATCTAAAAAGTACATAATGTACAATCAATTAGATCTATGTAATGAAGTCACCTTACCAAAAACAACAACAAACGCCAATCACAATCAACGGGATAAATCTAAAGGAGGTCAACGCTTCCACTTGCTTAGGCGGCGTCCTTTCAACTACAGGTAGCATAAATGAGGATGTCAAAGTCTTTGAGGATCTTAATGGCATGATAGACCTTCATTAATTTGCAATCAGTGTGGAAATCTACTGCACTCGGCATAAAGAACAAGATTCAGAATTTAAACACTGATGTCATGTGAGTTATTCTTTTTTTTATTTTTATTTATTTTTTTTATTTTTGATTACAGCTTGATTCCACACCGTATTCTTGGTACAATTGTGGAATTTTCAGCATGGATATCGGTAGCCCAAATTTCGCAGGCCGACCATAGATATCAGGTGTGCGTCAGGCAGAGGATCGAACCTCGGACTATATGGATGGTCGGCGAGAGTCCTAACCACTGTGCCACCGACGCACAGGGTTCACGTGCTTCATTTGTCTCCGAAAGCATTTCTAACTGGCTGTAGACTGTCACCAACAGCTGCTTGCGCTTCACACTGAAGATCACATAGCCGGACAGTAAGGATTGTGAACAGGGAGCCCTAACAAACAAGCAACATAGAAACAGCCTATTGCCTAACCAATATTTCGATGGAGATGGACTGGACACACTGAGGAGACCGTTCAGTAACACTGTACACCAAGCTCTTGTATGGCATTCGAATGAGAAACGATGAGTTTGATGTCCGAGGCTGAAATGGAGAAGATCATTTGAGGAGGAGATGAGTGTTTATGAGTAATTGTGGAGTCAGTTGAAAAGAAGTGCAGAGAACTGGATGAAATGGAGATGTGCTGTTGAAGCCCTATGTTCCACTCGTAACCTAAGGGAATAATAATACTAATAAATGGACCTGATTATTCACTTCGTCTTAATCACCTTTCAAACTTACTTTCATCTGGTGCTAGTATAATATTTGCTGCATTCAAATCATTATGACATAAGACTATCTTGGATATAGGATTTGGAATATACTGCTGTTTTATTTTGTACATCTCATTCAAAGCATAAGCTTTACTTGGAAAAATCGATTCATAGCTAGAATAAATAAGAATAAAAGTTGAATAATTACTGTTGAATTTGAACTCTAAGCTCAGATGAATTAAAAGGTGCACTTGTGTTTCGTGCATATCGAAGTTTATTAGCAAAGTTCAAATAAAGATCGTAATTTGTGTCAGTCGCTAGTGAATTCATAGATGTTACCACTACGATATACAAACTATGATTATCACAAAAATAAAGAATGATGTTAGCAGGCTAATTAACATTTCAACTTTCATTTTTATATACAACCATTGCATTTGATCAAAGCTGTAATTGCCACTTAAACAGCTCAGGTATGAACTATCCAGTCTTGACATGAAGTCAAGACCCTATCAACTAGCTTAATCGCCATATCACAAACTTTTTTATTCATTCCTCTGAGTTCCCCAGTGGAACATAGAGCTTTGAGGTTTTGAGTTTTCAGTAGCGATATTGTATTGCTAGCCTTATGTCCAGTCTTCCTTACTCTCTGGGCATACTATCAGCTAGTAAACTAGGTGAAATTTTAGAATAAAGTGTTCGAGAAACCGAATATGAACTGTGTGTGATGTGATTGGAGAGCGTTGTAGTATTGAACCAACAATGGATACAAACTTAACTGGTAAATCATAGTCATCAACAAAAATTGACAGAATTACAGGTTATCATCCGTTGTCTGAATTATGAACTCCTGGAAATCATACATTTTAATGATAATGTGTATAAGGAATGTTGGCGTTATTAACCTGCATTGTTCTGTCAGTTTGAGGTATGTATTCTTATAATACCCGTTATTAGTACCTAGTAATAGCGGTGTTAAATTCGAAAAGAGATATTTTAAAAATTATCTAAACTAAATATAAATCAATCTTTAGATTTGACATGTTGAATCCTAGTACAATGTGTTTGACGATATCTGAAAACTAACAATGATGTTATTTGGTGGAGGTTGATTAGCAGTGAAATCGAGGAAGGTCGTTTCATCTCAGCTGCGACTCATCAACTGGTTATACCAGCAATCCCTGGTAGGTAATAGTACCCCACTTAGACTCGAATCTAGTATATTTTGTTTTAAACACCAAAGCGTTATTCACTAAATATTAGTTTATTTGTCAGTGTTGTTTACAAATCTACAATAAATGGCTTGGTTGAATATTTCATTAAGGGATAACTTCTGGTAAATCTTACTTCTGTGATTTTCTTGATGAGTTTATAAAATCATCTTGTAATCTGTTTATCCATTGTATTATTCTTGAAAATATTCTTGGATCTCCATCTTCTCCGCATAGTTCGTTAGGTGATCTGAATTCATCTATGGGTAAACAGTGCAATGCAGCTAGCTTCTCTGCAATTAAACTTGGAATAAAACAAAACGAAAGAAAAGGGTTGTCTATTGGCGAAGATTTCAAGTTAAGACGTGAATAAGACATGGCTGTCTACTATCACCCATGACATTTTCGATTATGCTTGACTAGATAGTGAGACGAACCATAAATGGGAAGCAAGAAGACTCTAAAGGATATCGAATATAAAATAAGTATTGATTGAAAATAATTATACGAAAAAGATGTCAAACAATATTCTCAACAGTAGTGCCAGGAAGGAAAGGAAGAAGATTGCACATCAAAGATAGCCACTCCGTGTGCAAGACTGGGTTATGAATATTGTAATTTTCCGATCTTTGAAAGCATTTCAATTGCAGTTTAAAATGAGCTTTTCAGATGTCATCATGAAACCCTTGCGATTTCGCCACCATATAGACATGGCATGAAACTCTTATCCTGTAATTTTTTGGACGTTTAACAAAGCCACTTTTATAGATACCTCAAGAAGAATACAAACTCGTCTCAAGATATTTGGTGTATTGGGTAGCACAGGTTATTTAGCATACTATCTTACACGAATAAAATTAACTTGCGCTTTATCAAATATAACTAAGAAAAAAAGACAATATAAAGTCCCTAGTTCATTGGTAGAATGCTCGCCAGCCAATTGCGTAAGGTTCGGACAGGATTCATGGCCGATACACATTTAAACCCATAGACAGCCTATGAAACAATAAAGGCTGGGAATGAGACAGACGATCCTACTCCGTAAAATCATCAGCAGCATTACTGAAACTTTAAGGGTTTTCAGTGCTATGCTGTACTCGGAACGGAAGGAATGTAAAAACAATGACAAACATTAAACCGTGTTTTTCCTGTGGAAAGTTACATCTACGAAGCACTTGCCGTTTTCGGGGTGCTAAGTGTCACAAATGTGGTAAAGTTGGACACATCAAGACTGTTTGCAGAAGTTCGAATACTTATGTTGCTCAACATTCTCATAATTCTCCCAAGCTTTCTAGTAAAATGGAGTCAATATGTCTTTCAACCTTTCAAAATACTCAAGCTAATCCGATGAAAACCTCCACTACAAGTTCGGCAACTCAAGTGTCAACTGTTTTCAAAAATGAGGTAGCTGAGTTACAATGTGAACTGTCGAAAACACGAAAAGACCTGAATGAGATGAGAGAGCAACTGATTAAAATTGAGGAATTACTGCATATGCTTAGACTGCGTTTGTCGAATGCAGAGCATACAAGTACCCGTGAAAGTCCTGCAAAACTTTTCAAATCTCGAATTCTCAAAAAGCATCTGATGCCCACGACTTCTAATGTACATTATTACAAAGGTAATGACTATAGACCTTCTGTTGGAATTATACTACAAAAAATGGGAAATCGAGTGGTGAAGATATTAGACATCAAAGATCACTCAGTTCATAACGGACACCTGGACAAAGTGACAATAAATGAAGTAGGTCGTTCCAATTATAATATCATTGATTCCGCTAATAATCCTGATTTTGCAGATAATTCAGAAATAGGTCCAGATAATACTGATGGAAATAATATCACAGAATCAGTTAGAAGGTCGCAGCTACTTGCAAGCAAACCGAGACATCGTTATAAATACGCAAGGAGATATTCGAGGTGTGGCGGATGTGGTGATTGACAATTTCTATCTCTGTATTGTTTAAAATACTTACTGTTGACTGTTAATATGTTTCTTATGTGAATTGCATAATAAGTCCGCAAAATACAAATTCCTGAGTTCTGCCCTCTCTGTGTTTTGTTTGGATTCGTGTAATTCGGTCATCTCGAAATACTAACATTCCGATTACAATAAATTACTACACACATGTTGATCCCCGCTTCATCAAGTGACTATTTAGAATACTGAAAAATAAATTTCTCCTGTGGTCGTAAACCTGAGATTAGGTAAGATTGTCAATTAGGCTTAGTATTTGCACCAAGTTGACTAACTTGGGTGTGTTGATTAGCGAAGACCGTTTTTCGTCGTTACTCTTTCTCTTACTTACCAGCAGTTAGTAGTACATGCTGTTACTATGAAAAATATGTGAGCAAATGCCTTTCCTGTTGATATTAAAAAATGTCTTTTTGTGATTGTTTCTAAGAAAAGACAAACTTTACGAGAGAACTCGTTAATATTACTGTACAACACTGTGTGATTTAGAAAACAGAAAGATTGAGCGAAGAAATATTTACTTTTCAATTAGATCCTCATCTCTGTCTCTACTATAATACATATAGCATTTTTATTACAATATACAACAGTTTGTTTCTTCATAGGCCGTTTCCTGTACTGGTACAACAATTCCCGGAATTTAGTTCCCGTGATGTGCACGGTGATTACGTGGACTGCGCGCGTTGGTTTGGTAGCTTGGTTATCTCTAAGTCGTGTGAAAATTGTGTTATGGTCTGGAAACCCGGTGAACTAGATAATTCATCAGGTAGTTCGCCTGTAGTATGTAGTGAGAGTGGTTCATATTTAGCCGATGGTGGGATTCACGTGGTAGATGGTTTGCGGCTTCCGACTCGGCTATCTGCAATTGACCCTCATTCAGAAGAGCTATCGCATGCACCCGGTGTACTGACAGAGCCCAAAGCGAGCGTCATTCACTGTTTGAAAGCAGAGAATTGTAATCTATGGTTTATTCGTTTCGATTTGGATCTGAAAAATCAGATACTTGCTTTGGGCACAAGTAGTGGTCCGTCACGCGTGTATTTGTGGGATCTAAAGCATCCTGAGAAAGCATTCAATCTGCCACCTAAAGTGCTTCATCTCCCTCCAATTAGCAGAGTTGGTCGAGGTGGTTCATCGTCGAACCACGTGGCAATCAGACAAATACGTTTTGCAAATGACGGTGAAATTCTCTTATGTGTATGTGATAATGGTGTCATTGTAAGATTTGATAGAATGTAACTTTTGTATATATTTATTGTCATCAATGGTTAGTTTGAAATGTATCAATAAATCATATTTTTTAGGGAATGGCTTCTTATCCTTTATATATTATGTGGTGAATGCGTTGTTTGCACACTTGCTTAATTGTCAAAATGATGAATAAATGCTGTGGTGTGAGTCTGTCAGATCGTCATGTCATAGTGGGAGTAGAGTTATTAAAGCATAGGATTCCACACTTATTAGCACCGAATAATAGCAGCAGTTACGACGAGACATAATTCTAATTACATAGCCCATTCCATTCGTCTTGAATATGTCGTGAATGCTTCTTTCAAAGTCGAATTAGGAGAGACATCAGCAATCTTTAAGTCGTCATCAAGGGAATACGGTGTGCAACATTGTGGGCATTGTTAATGTAAATCAGGATAAGCAATGACCCCAGCGCGCTACCCTGAATCACTTCAAATCATATGGATCTAGGCGATGTGTAAGTATTGAGGAGTTCACTACTTGGAGCGGCCCTCCAAGAAGGGCTGAGGCAGGGTAACCGAGGGTCTTAGTAGTCGAACGAAAAATAAACATACAAACAAAAGTTAATTCAAATCAAACAAACGAACAAAAGGTAAGTAAAATCAGCGGAGTTGTTACCATGAGAGTAAAAGTAGTTGGATAATTTTCTTTTGTATGCATAGTTCTGGTTCTTCCAACTGAATGATATCTTTAACAAAATCAACGAATTGGGAGGTGTCACGATGCGAATAGTGGCACATCTGGTACGGGGAACCTGACATATCCATTCCCCGTACCATTCAACAGCGAAATGGCTAGCTGACATTTTAGAACCTGTACGAGAACAGATGTGCCACTATTCGCATCGTGACACCTACCAATTCGTTGATTTTGTTAAAGATATCATTCAGTTGGAAGAACCAGAACTATGCATACAAAAGAAAATTATTCAACCACTTTTACTCTCATGGTAACAACTTTGTTGATTTGACTTAACTTTTGTTTGTATGTTTATTTTTGTAACTACTTAAAACCCTTGCGTAATTCCGTATGTTATTTTGTTTCCATGGGCACCCTGAGCACAACTCTTTCATGAAACAATTCACGTTATTACGTAACTCTTCTTTAACAACCGTTTGTGACAACTCATCACTTTTGTTACCACCCTCTTATATCAACATCCAATTCATCTGAACTTACTAACTGTTTTTTCCTTTGACAAATTTTATGTACACACACATACAGAACAAACACATATATTTACGATTGTGCAATTATGAAAATGAATTCGCCGACAAGAGACTCTTCGCTGAACTAGTAGTCTTCCGTCAATTAATGTTCGAATAGGAATATTTCATCCAAAATAACTGATATTTTTTTTGTTAACTTCAAAGTGACACCTGCTTTTGTTGTTGTAAAACTGATGAAATGAAATGTGCGTAACAACAATTTCATCAGTCATAAGGTTATTTCAATGTAGAATTTATCACTAATGGCCATGAGTCTTAGAAGGCATTCGTTTACAAGTTTCTCCATAAGGATAACTGTCATCACTGTATAACTGCTCTATACTTTACCATAACAACAGATGAATCATTGGTTTTCTCTTTAGAGCGTACATATAAACATAGGAAAGACCTAAAGTTGGAGACAATCTTCAGTAAGCCTTCGACCTACGTTTCATGCTTCTTGGCAGTACTCAGCAAGGTGTGTGTGCAATCTTCAAGAAACTCAAAACCACTCTGAGATTTGAAACAGTGTCACCCATTGGTCCATTCACAGATGTTACCACTGAGTTATTCGGCCTCGCGATTCACCTCTTGTAGGACTGTATTAGACAATTTGATTGGACAACAACTCGTGTTATGCATCTACTCCTTTGTTTGACTGCACACTGGCTTTTGTCAATCAAGCCCACAATGTGACCACCAGGCGAGTATCCAATAAAAGTATCTGGGTTACTGGTAGTAGTCAAGAAAGTGTACTTACCGTCTCGAAGCATGAGTAATAAAAATGGGAAACCAGAGAGATGTTTAAATAGAAGAATACAAGCAGTATTGATTAATTTTATACACTGCAAATTATTCAATGTAAGTT